AGGTTCAATCCCCGGTTGGGGAACAAAGATTCTGCAAGATGCATGGCACTGCCAAAAACAAATAAATAAAATAAAATAAATCCTTTTTCTCATGAGTTGAAATTCTTTAAACACTGCATAAATATGATTGTTAATTAATCCAGACTGGTCTTCTGCCATCATCCTGACAAAACTAAGTCTAAAACCAGAATCTCAGAATGTCTTTTCAATTTAATATCAAAAGAATGACCAGAAAAAGACAACTTAAATCATATTCCAGTTTTCGCCTTTCACAACTATTCACAGCCTTCGTGTTCACTTTTACAAAATATAAGAAGACAGAATGACCATTTTTTTCTTTTCCTGACATACTTTGTCAAGTAAAGGATCTATTTCCCTACTGCTGTATGTTAGCACAGTCATCTTTAACCTTTTTGGGGGATCATGAATGCTCTTGAGACTCTGATGAAAGCTATGGAACATTGTCAGCAGAAAAATACACAAACTCACAATTTTGTTCCCTATTTCAGGGGGTTCCTGGAACCTCAGAAGCCTGTATTGGGACCCCAGATATAGAGCCAGTTTCAGAGTCAGAAAAACAAGTGGAGATCTTACATGACACCAGTGACTTTTATGTCCCTTATATCCCACCTGTCAACAGGAAACAAAGATTGAAATCTATCAGAGAGGAAACATCTTGTGTCCATACTTGCCTTGTGACTCTCCACCCCTATTCTCAGCTCTGCTCACAGCATCTTGAGAACATATTTTTAAATTTGGCTCCAGCTGGTGTCTTTTAGCTGCTATACAGTGACTCATTATATGAACTGCATCCTTTTCTTGCTGAGATACAAGAGGTTTATTGATCTCACAATACATTCTCTTGTTTGATTTGCATACCAACCATCAGTGTCGGGATGGTTTTTTTGATACAGAGAAGGCTTGCCTGTCATTTGCATTTCTAATAGTCAAGTAAGAATCTCCCTTCTAATAGAGTCACACTGTAAGTTAATAAAAGCAATTCTGTGTTGGCTATACTAACACTGTCATTTGGTTTTGTTTCCATCTTTATTTCTCCACTGACATTTTCTTAGGATTCTTAGATTTTTGGATTTACATATGTAAGTCTGTAATGATGCAAATATGTTTTAAGGAATTGCAGGGACTCTTGAAAATCCAGGTTTAAAAAATATTTCCAGCAAGCATGACTTAGCCCTGTGCCTGGTTACCGAGCAGTCTCTCTAAATCTTTACGTGGTGCCTCTTAACATTGTGTTTTCCAGGTCAGCAGTAGCATAGAAACCCTTGTGTGTGTCTCCCTGGAACACATCAAAAAGACATTTCAAATAATGTCAAAATTTTTAACGTTTTTGCTTGACTGAGATATTTTTGTTCTGTAGTACTTTAAATCAACACTTTTCTTCAATTTATCATTAATACAATAGTAAAACATGTTAACTATACTATACAAAGTAAGGTTATAAATTTATTCAGTGGCATTAAAGCATTTCATTAAGTTCCCATCAATAGCATGTAGTTGTTTTAGTCACAGAAAGGCACTGAAACTCTAAGTAAATAACCTAGACTCTAGACCTTGTGACACTGTTTGATTTACATTTCTGAAGGTATTACCTTGCATACAGACAATTCAAATAAGTGATACTAGTCCAATCATGTGTGATTATGCTACGATGACCATACGATGGCACAGGTGTATCAAAGTGGTGAAGTGCGCAGGCTCAGCGATCAGACTGCCTGGACCTGCGTCTTACTACTTGTGTGAGGCTCAGCACACTTATCATCTCTGTGAAATGAAGGGGGGACGACAGTCCCTACCTCACAGGGCTATTACTGAATCATCCTGAATGTCTATCACCTCGCAATATATATTTTTAATATCTGAAAGTTAGAGTGTTCTTTCCAAAATAAATACATTTTGTTTGGAAGCTGTTTTTTTTTTTTTCCCCTTCGTCCCTGCCATGTGGCCTAAGGGATCTTAGTTCACTGACCAGGGCTTCAGCTGTGCCCCATGCATTTGGGAGCAGAGTCTTTAACCACTGGACCACCAGGGAAGTCTCTGGGGACAGCTTTTTAATCAATTTTAGTCTTTTAGGTTAATCTTTTTAAAAAAATTTATTGAGGTATAGTTGATGTACTATATTATATAAATTGTAATACTATATTAAATCATAATTTTCAGGTGTACAACACAGTGATTCACAGTCTTTACAGGTTATACTCCATTTATGTACAAGCTGGATTTAGAAAAGGCAGAAGAACCAGAGATCAAGTTGCCAACATTTGTTGGCTCATAGAAAAAGCAAGGGAATTCCAGGAAAACATCTGCTTCACTGACTCCGTGAAAGTCTTTGACTATGTGGATCATAACAAACTATGGAAAATTCTTAAAGAGATGGGAATATCAGACCACCTTACCTGTCTCCTGAGAAACCTATATGCAGGTCAAGAAGCAACAGTTAGAATCAGAAATGGTTCTTATATTCAATAATTTTATTTTTTAGAGTCCACATATGATGTATAGTACTTGTCTTTCTGACTTTTTTCACTTAGACCATTCATGGTGTTGCAAATGGCAAATTTTCATTCTTTTTATGGCTGAGTAGTATTCCTCTGTGTGTGTGTGTGTGTAAAAACATCTTTATCCACTCATCTGTTGATGGACACTTTAGAGGCTTCTATATCTATTGTAAGTAATGCTGTTTTGGACGTTGGGGGGCCTGTACCTTATAGAATGAGTATTCTCATTTTCTCTGGATATATGCCCAGGCATAAAACTACTGGGTCACATGGTAGTTCTATTTCTAGTTTTTTGAGGACTCTGCATACCATTTTCCACAGTGACTGTACCAATTCACATTCTCACCTACAGTGTACTAGGGTCTCCTTTCTCCACATCCTTGCCAACACTTCTGTGTAGACTTTTTGATGATAGACATTCTGACTGATGTCAGATGGTATCTCAAGTAGCTTTGATTTCATTTCCCTGGTAATTAGTGATGTTGAGCATCTTTTCACGTGTCTGTTGGCCATTTGCATACCTTCTTTGGAAAAATGTCTGTTCAGGTCATCTGCCTGTCTTTTAACCTGGTTATTTTTTTTATGTTGAGGTGTATGAGCTATTTATATATTTTGGATATTAACCCCTTATCATTCATATCATTTGCAAATACTTTCTCCTATTCTGTATATTGTCTTTTTGTTTTGTCGTTGGTTTGTTTTGCTGTACAAAAGTTTTTAAGATTAATTGGGTTCCATTCATTTATTTTTGCTTTTGCTTTGTTTTAGGAGACCCCCCCCCAAAAAAAACACTGCTGCCATTTATGTCAGAGTATTCCACCTATGTTTTCTTCCAGGGTTACTGATTTTATATTTAAATTAATCTCTAATACCCATACATTTTCCTCCCGACAGATAGAATGAGGAGACTTTGATTAGTAATAAAACTAGTAGAATTCAGAGTAGGAGTCAAACTTTTAAATGAAATCCAATGGGCACTTCTGATTTTTAGTGTCCTAATTAGACATTAGCAACTGAAGTTAAAATTTCTTTTAACACTTTAAGTTTCAGTTTCCTCCCTGAAATGTCACTGAGAACAAGCAAATGATAAGCTAAAGTGACTGGGAAGTGTTTGTCTGGTGAGCCCAATACAACAGGCATTGACAAAGAAATACAGAAGACATATGAGCTTAAAAGTGAGAAAGGCTAGGGAATTGCCCGGTGGTCCAGCAGTTAGGACTTTGCACTTTCACTCATGGGGCCCAGGTTTAAACCCCATTGGGGGAATTAAGATTCCTGAAAGCTGTGCAATGCAGCCAAACAACAACAGCAACAACACACACACACACAGAAAATGTGAAAAAGGCTACAAAGTAAAAGCTGACTTCTTACATGAGTAGCATGCATTCAGTCTATGCCATTTTTGGTCCACACCCTCTATCAAAGTCCTTATACATTCTAGGCTTTTAGAAAAAGCCAAGGAATCATACTTCAAGAAGCATAAAAATATATTTCAAGTCAGTAACTTTAATTAAAAATGTTAGCCGAAGAAGAAAATCCTATAAATGAACTTTTAAATTAAGTTTAAAATTCCTTTCTACTTAAAAAAAAGGTACCACGAAATATTTATAGAACTGTAGAGAGAAATATGCCCAACATAATCTGAATTTCCTGATTCTAATGTTTGATAAAGCCCAGTATATATTTAACAATCAATTTGTTTTTCAAAAAACAAAAATTTATAAGAAAAAATACATTTTATCTTCCCAAATATTAGTGGTATAAAATGATATTTGGTTTTCATCAGTCAGAAGCATAACTGCCTTTAACTAAATCCAAATAAAGAAGAATGTAGATGATACAGATTGGTTAAGTTAAAACATATTACAGTATATATATGTGTGTGTGCATACATGTGGGGAAAATGTTATATAATCTGTAAGTTAAAACATATTACAGTATATATATGTGTGTGTGCATACATGTGGGGAAAATGTTATATAATCTGTAAGATGAAGTGAAACAGTATACCCTAATTATATGACAAAGCTTTCCCAGGGTTGCTCAGCAGTAAAGAATCTGCCTGCAATGCAAGAGACAGGTTTGAATCCTGGATTAGGAAGAGCCCCTGGAAAAGGAAATGGCAACCCACTCACTCCAGTATTCTTGCTTGGGAAATCCCATGCACAGAGGAGCCTGGAGGGCCACAGTCCATGGAGTTGAAGGATTCCGACACAATTTAGCAACTAAATAATCATCATGTAACAAAGGGTGAGGAACTTAAACTTCTAGATCACATAAAACCTCATCAAAACTTTTTTTATCCACAGAATAATCCCTTGAAGATAGTTATTAGATGAAACAGCAAAAGCTTTTATCTAAGGTTTTAACCCTTTTTATTGATTTTTTCTTTATGAACCTGTCTCAAAAAACAAACAGAATATATTTTATGTATTTGTAAACATCAGACTTTCAAGCCATTATACTATAGCCCTTAGAAACAGTTCATTTCTTCAGCTCTTCCTGCACACCTGAGTTGGTGGAGGCTTCAGCCTGGAGCTCTTCTGTTTCCCCCTTTAAAGCAAACTCGGCAGGCGCTGGGTGTTCCTGGAGGCTGGATTTCAGAGCATGAGCTGCATAGTTAAGGCTGGTGTTTTCACTCCAATGCCAGTAACCTGAGAAGGGGTTGTAGAGCATTCCCACCACAGTTTGAACTGACAGACCGTCTAAAAAATATATATCAAACAGAGTATATTTAACAAACATTTACCTTCCACAAGCCAAGAGTCTCACACAACTCTCTATATTAAAAAAAAAAAAAAGGATTTATAACTCAACAGACACAAATATTTTGTAACCATTATAGCTCATTCTTTACTGCAACAGAACATGATATTTGGAATTTGGGTAAGTGCTCGATAAATGTTAGCTGTTATTAGAAAATACTTGCCAACAAGTGACTATTCCAATCAAGCACCTTTAAAATATTTTTTTCAGCTCCATTTTCAACAATGTTAACTTGCAGAAATTACTGTATTTCATTGAACAGATAATAGTCTTAGTAAAATCAAGTTTATTGATATACTGTTATATGAACAAAAAGCATGAAACACACATGAGTCTAACTACTCAAAAGGAATACTAAATGCCAAATAAATGAACAGACCAATGTTGTTACTTGACAGGAATTCAACAGATAAATCAAGTCCTCAGGAGGTATAAAGCAGGGCTAGGAATTACAGGGAGCACAAAAAAGGATTCACAATCTTGCCTTCAAGGAGCTTACAGCCAGAAAGATGTTATAGATACCAAAATAACCATGCTACAAGGCATGCTATAACTGGTATGAAACACTACATAAGAAGTGACAAAGAAGTTCAAAATACAACTGACATGGCAAAGAACTGGACATGACTGAGTGACTGATGCGCCCACATGCGTGCGTGCGCACGGACACACACACACACACACACACACACACATACGAATCAGGAAAAAGAAAACGTGAGATAAGCTGATTCAAGAATGACCTCAACAGGACAAACTGAGGATATGTAAATTAAAGACATGTGTACCTAATCCTTAAACAAGAGGGCTAAATAGCCAAAAAGGCTTCATTATCGTCTATGATTTGCTTGACCCTGGGTTAGGTGCCACAGGTGAGAGAGAAGAGGTATGTAATACCTAACCCTAACTTTAAGGAATTATGATCTAGTTGAGGAGAGATAACCAACATCCAAAGAAGAGTGGTCTAATTCATTCAGTACTAGGTTCTGTGATTAATAATTACTGGCACATTAAAAGGCTTCCCTGGGAGCTCAGCTGGTAAAGAATCTGCCTGCAATGCAGGAGACCTCGGTTTGATTCCTGGGTCAGAAAGATCCCCTGGAGACGGTAATGGCTATGCACTCCAGTATTCTGGCCTGGAGAATTCCATGGACTGCACAGCCCATGGGGTTGCAGAGAGTTGGACACAACTGAGTGACTTTCACTTTCAAAAGTACAGTTAGGCCTTGAAAATTGGAAACATTAATACTTACTTGATTCCAGAATGCTCTCTAGCTTTTCAGGTGAAACGAACTTCTCCCAGGTATGAGTACCTTTTGGTACAATACCTGCAATTTGCTCTGAAAAAACAATTCCCAAGGCATAGGACAGCTGTGTTTTGTTGATTGTAGTAATGAATAAAGAACCATTGGGCTAAAAATAATATGAATAGAAGTAAAATTTTATATGTCAGGAATATCAGCTAGATAAAAGCTTGGCTTCCCTCGCCCTCCTCCTCCCTTCCAAATAATTTAAATGCAGTTAAGATACACAAGTGTAAACAAAATATAATTTACCAAAATAATATTTATTTTCCTCTTGGGAAATTCGTTGTTACAGGCAATCCACTATAGATGCACTCACTGAGTTTATGCAACAGTGCTTACAGCTAACTTCTAAAATCATACATTACTATGACTTATGTTTATATTAAATACATTCTTTTGTACATATCAAATACTTTATAATGAAAGTATAGACATGAGATTAGGCTGCCTGTCCTTGTTACATGTCCACACTGACGCTTTAACGTGTTAACCCTGCCTTCTCTTCGGGGGAAGCCAAGCCTGCCTAAATTGTTTGGTGCAGCACACAGCCCCACAGCTTGCACAGGCCAGCAAGGCTGGTAAGTGTTCTCCGACAAAAGCATTAATGATTAAGGTAGGAAAAGCGTCTTCCCAAGTGGCCCAGTGGTAAAGAATCCACCTGCCAAGCAGGAGACAAGATTTCAATCTCTGGATCCAGAAGATCCCCTGGAGAAGGAAATGGGAACCATCTCCAGTGTTCTTGCCTGGGAAATCCCAGGGACAGAGGAGCCTGGCAGGCTATAGTTAATAGGGTCACAAAGAGTCAGACACAACTGAAGTGACTTAGCACGCACACATGCATATTTACTCCCACAGATGGCAAAAACATAAATGGCTCTTTTAAACATTCTCATTAGCACCTGATGGAGACAAAATGCCCCTCCAAGATAATCATATTAAGATATATATATATATATATATATGTATATATATATATATATATGTGAAAATATCTCAAATACCACTCCAAACCAAAAATAAAAATGATGCGAAAGGCCCTGTAATATTGGGATGTACCCTTAAAACTAAAATATCAGACACTATTTCATGACACATTGTAACATTTCTCTGTAAAACTTTAGTATTCTAAAATATTCAAAATCACTTGTGTGTCAATTATATCTCAATAGAGCTAAGGAAAAAAATCAATTATAAATATCTAATCTGTGTTTCATAAAATCTTATTCTAAGGAAACAGTGGTGAGTATTGGTCATTTATTTTTTTTAAAAATAAGCTTTCCATTAAAGCAAAAATTAGTTTTAAATTCCACATTGCCAGTATTCCTAGCATATGTGAAAGACTCTCCATCCAAACATACATACTGAGACACTACACAAAAAGAAATAATTCAGGAGTTTTGCTTGGACAGGAGCTATGCCTAATAAGGCTCATTTAAGAGGGAACACCATCAAGAAACAATACACACTGAAGGAGACTATGGATACGTGGTAACTAAATGCAATGTGGAATCCTGGATTGGATCCTGCAACAGAAAAATGACATTAGTGCAAACACTAATGAAATTGAACAGGGTCTGTAGTGTACTTAATAGTATAATGTCAATGTTAATTCTGTAGCTTTGAAAAATATACCATGGGCTATATTCAGGGCTAGGACTATGGTGAGGCTAATGAGCTGCCTTGAGCGCTAAACCCGAGGGGGTGCCCCCTCTCTGGGTGTGCAAATACAGGACTGGCACTGACCAGTGAGTGCGGCCTCGGGCATCATGCCCTGGGTACCACACTTGCTCTTACCAGTTCCTACCCTTATTGGGTAGGATGCTAACAGTAGGACACTTGGGAACAGGAACACTGTGTACTGTCTTTGCAACATCTATAAATTTAAAATTATTTTAAAAGGAAAAGTATATTTTAAAAGCTCTATTTAGAGAAGGGGGCAGCAGAGAATGACATAGTAGATAGTATCACCGACTCAATGGACATAAATTTGAACAAAATCAGGGATATAGTGGAGGACAGAGAAGCCTGGCGTGCTGCCGTCCATGGGGTCACTACAGTCAGACACAACTTAGAGACTGAACAACAATAACAACAAATTTAGATGAAGGCTAAGCATTTAATCCTTTTAGCTCTTGAACTTAGGGGGTTACCTCTTGAATATATAAACAACAGAGTTGGAACCACCTTCAGAGGACTAAGTCTGTGGCAAGTTACATAAGCAAAATAATGTAATGGAAAGAACCAGACTTGAAATAAAAAGATATAGCCTTATGTCCCACTTAAGTACCTAGTGACTTTGACTTAAAGACCATGTGACCTCTGACATCTCTCAAATTCTGATGTTCTCCAGGTCAAAGGCGTTCAGAATGCCTGTCTTACCCTCTTCACCTGGTTGCAGGTAAGATCAAATGAGATCATTTGTATCAAGTGCTTCCCTGGTGGCTTGATGGTAAAGAATCTGCCTGCAATGCAAGTGACCCAGGTTCCAGCCTGGGGTCAGGAAGATCCCCTGGAGAAAGCAGTGGCTACCCACTCCAGTATTCTTGCCTAGAGAATTCCATGGACAGAGAGCCTGGCAGGCTATAGTCCATGACAAAGAGTCAGAGATAACTGAGTGACTAACACTTTCACTTTTCTTTCCTTCTTTTAAAGCTGGTAACTATTACACATACCATGTATATAGACTGACTTAACAAATGCTGGCTAACCAGTTTACGCTAATTATGACTTTTTAAAGTATTAACCCAAATTAATTTCTTAGTAATTGTCATTCAGTGCCTGTTAGGTATTTAATCCAAATTATACCAAGGGATAAATACCACTGTAAATCTACTGTTTGTATTACAGTGTTCAATACCAACAGTTTTCAGGATCCCTGGACATCAAGATACTGGCTCTGGAAAACCCCAGGACTCAGGGCAAGCTGAGACGCAGAAATAACGTCCAGTAGAGATGTTGTCCCCAGATTCTGTCTTCCTGGTTTCAAGTTTATAAAACATTTATTGCTACGGATACATAACATGTACTCAAAAGAAAAAACAAGCAAGAAAACTCTGCAAGTCTTACCTTTAACACTTGAAAGCAGCACTGTATAAATGTTTCTAGATCAATCACATGTTCTACAACTTCAGAAGCTACAACAGCATCAAACGTTTCCACAGTGTCTTTCACAATCTCCTCCAGGGAACACGTTCTGTACTCTATCCTCTTATCCAGGACTGGGTCGAATGATTTATGGTGCTGTGCTGTTTTAATGTTCTCATCCACAGGGTCGATTCCAATGACTGAAGCCCCAAGCCGCCCTAGAGGCTAATGGCATAGAAAACCGTTACCCTCAGGAAGAAAACAGAATACATTAGCAATAAAAACCTTCTCAAAAAGGAGACAAGATCAAGCACGAGGGGAATTACTGGAGAGCGTTTATGGGTACATGTAAGTTCAATATACCATTTTCTCTAGTTTATACGTTTGATAATTTCCATAATAAAAAGCTTAAAAGTGAGAACAATAATCACAACAAAAAACTTATTAAGAACTACTAACAAATAGTGAGGAAATTTTTATCTACATTCTCTAGATACATTTATAGGCATATAGTACAATATTAAAATATTTACAGAGTGCAATAAATGAAACATGTCATTGTAAAAAGAAAAATTTTCTAATATTCAAATTCTCTAAGGAACATTTTTTTTCTCCATAGTTTCTCCTGTGACTGACTAGAAACGATTCTTCACATCCAATTCTTCTTTCAACCTCTACATTTGATCACTTCCCATGACATGCCTAAGATTTTTTAAAAAAGGCTTAATTTTAATCAAAACACTGCACAGCATTTATTTTATAACTCCTTAGTTAACAAAAGTGAAAATCAAATTATTTTAACTTGGAGACATAAGATCTGTAATAATACACTGAAAAAGCCATAGAACACATACAGTAAAAGTGTACTCACTTACCATTTGATACACCTCATATTCTTGATTCTATGGGATGTATTTTTACGTATTTTACATTTCCTAAAATTTTATAATTGATGTCAAAAGAAACCAGCCCACTGCCATACGAAGAACATATGTTCTATGCATATGGAAACAGTTATGCATCAAAGGTCTCCGTTAACATCACTGTCAACTTGGCTGTTATGACCTTGACAGTAAGACACACCCCTGTATCTTCACTGATATTTGACTCCTACCTACACTGTTACTTAAAATATCTTTCAAAAGTCTGCTTGCCATGCAGCATTGAAACAAAAAGTTACTGTGTTAATAGAAGATTACAAAATTTACTCTAAGCTAAAGCAAATATTGTTCACAGGGAGAATGAGTATTCTTCTAAGAACTCTAGAGCACCTAAAAAGGGGAGAGCCCCCAAAGCCTGCAAGACTCTTACATTTTGATATTGAACCAAGTGCAAAAGGACAGCTTATCAGTACATTTAAACCAGTGGAAACGGCCTAATATCCTGGGAGAAAAGAAACAACAAAATTTTCAAAACTATTTGAATGACCAGTGCTTTTTTTCTTTCTTTCTTTAAAAATTGAAGTATAGTTGATTTACAATATTTTATTAATTTCAGATATATAATCACACAGTGATCCAATAGTTTTATAGACTATACTCCATTAATACTATACTCCATAATAGCTATATTTTCCTGTGCTATACAATATACCCTTGTTTATTTGTTTTATACACAGTAGTTTATACCTCTTAATCCTCTTATACCTATCTTGCACTTCCCCCCTTCCTTTTTCTCATTGGCAACTACTAGTTTGTTCTCTGATCTGTGAATCTGTTTCTGTCTTGTTATATGTATTTGTTTATTTTTAAGACTCCACATATAAGTAATGATTATAATATTTGTCTTTGACTTATTTTACGAAGTGTTAATATCCTCTAGGTGCATCCACATTGTTGTAAATGGCAAAATTTTCATTCCTTTTTATGGCTGAATAATACTACAGTATGTGTGTGTGTGTGTGTTGTGTATCACATCTTCTTTATCCATTCATCTGTTGATGGATACTTAGGTTGCTTCCATATCTTGGCTCTTGTAAATAATGTTGCTATGAGCATTGGTCTGTCTGTATCTTTTCTAATTAGTTTTTTCATTTTCTTCAGAAATATACCCAGGAGCAGAACTGCTCAGTCATATGGCAGTTCTATTTTTAGTGTTTTGAGGAACCTCCACACTGTTTCCTGTAGTGGTTGCATCAATTTACATTCCCACCAGCAGTGTACTAGGGTTTCCTTTTTTCCATATCCTCACCAACATTTGTTATTTGTAGACTTTTTAATGACAGCCATTCAGACTGGTTTGAGGTGATATGTCATTGTGGTTTTGATTTGCATTTCTCTGATGATTAGGGATGTTGAGCATCTTCTCATGTGTCTGTTGGCCATCTGAATGTCTTCTTTGGGAAAATGTCTATCAGGTCTTCTGCTAGTTTTTCAGTCAAGTTGTTTATTTGTTGATGTTGAGGTGTATGAGCTTTTATGTATTTTGGTTCAGTTCAGTTCAGTCACTCAGTCGTGTCCGACTCTTTGCGATCCCATGAACTGCAGCACGCCAGGCCTCCCTGTCCATTTACCAACTCCCGGAGTCCACCCAAACCCATGTCCATTGTGTCAGTAATGCCATCCAACCATCTCATCCTCTGTTGTCCCCTTCACCTCCTGCCTTCAATCTTTCCCAGCATCAGGGTCTTTTCAAATGAGTCAGCTCTCCGCACCAGGTGACCAAAGTACTGGAGTTTCAGCTTCAACATCAGTCCTTACAATGAATGCCCAGGACTGATCTCCTTTAGGATGGACTGGTTGGATCTCCTTGCAGTCCAAGGGACTCTCAAGAGTCTTCTCCAACACCACAGTTCAACAGCATCAATTCTTCGGTGCTCAGCTTTCTTTATAGTCCAACTCTCACATCCATACATGACCACTGGAAAAACCATAGCCTTGACTAGACAGACCTTTGTTAGCAAAGTAATGTCTCTGCTTTTTAATATGCTGTCTAGGTTGGTCATAACTTTCCTTCCAAGGAGCAAGCATCTTTTAATTTCATGGCTGCAATCACCATCTGCAGTGATTTTGGAGCCCAGAAAAATAAAGTCAGCCACTGTCTCCCCATCTATTTGCCATGAAGTGATGGGACCGGATACTAAACCCATATCAATCATATCATTTGCAAATACTTTCTACCATTTAGTAGGTTATCTTTTTGCCTTGATGACAGTTTCCCTTGTTGTAAAAAAACTTTTAGGTTTAATTAGGTCCCATTTATTTATTTTAATCAGTGCCTCATTTTTGTGTAAAAAAAAATTCCTCACTATACTTTTCTGAAATATTTGTATATTTTTAAGGAAGTAAAAAGAATGTATTACTTTTATAATCATAAAAATATTAAAAACATTATACTTTTCCATTTTAAAAAAATGAACAGTATTATTTCTTAAAAGGATAAGAGAGGGGCTTTCCTGGTGGCTCAGTGGGAAAGAATCTGCCTGCCAATGCAAGAGACATGGGTCCAATCCCTGATCTGGGAAGATCCCACATGCCCCGGAACAACTAAGCCTGAGGGCCATAACTACTGAGCCTGTGCTCCAGAGCCAGGCAGCTGCAGCCACGGGGCCCCCGTGCCACAACCACTGACGCCCAGACACCCTGGAGCCCGCGCTCTGCGATGAGAAGCCGCCTCAATGAGACACCGGCACCGCACACCCGGAGAGCAGCCCCTGCTCGCCACAACTAGAGAGAGACCCACGCAGCAATGAAGGCCCAGGGCAACCAAAAATAAACACACAAAATACGTGGGGGGAAAACCTTCTCCGATGAAAAAAAAAAAGGATAAAACAGGCATAAACCCACTTCTCAATTTTTTTCCCAGTTAAAAATGGCAAGAAAGCCGTAAATCACTTACTTCTGTTAACAATCCACCACCACAACCAACATCAAGAATCTTCATCCCAGACAAAGGTTTTCCTGGCTGGTGATTAGCAACTGTTTTTAAAAGATTGTCTCTTTAAAAAAATTAAAAATATATAAAAACAAATTATTAATTTTATCAATAAAGTCTTAAAAGTGTATAATTTCCAAAGAAATATTAAACTGTTTTTAATCTAAGACTATTGATTTGGGGGACAAAAAATCTTATTATCAGCATAAAATGATATTATGCTTAATTTATAAAACATTTTTAGTAATCAAAAGCAGGAGGTTTAAAGTAAAGCTCTTGAAATAATTATGACTCAATTATTACTTTAGTAATAATCTAAAGAAAACCTTTAAATTGAGTCTCCTTTAATCTTCTAAGTTAGTGGTGTTTTTATGATCACATAAACAGGCATCCAAATCAAGTAACCTTAATTCTAAGATAATTATAATAACAATTTACCATACACACAAACATAAGCACACACATATATATACACCCATATACACACACAGATACCAAAATATCATAAACTAAACTTTTAAGTTGGACTACTAATTATACTTGGAATTCTAATTATACTTATAGTTGGAATTCTAATTATACTTATATTAAAATAAATCTTATATGTAATAAGGACATCTTAGGATATCTTTTATTGCTATTCAAACTAATTGATTTCTAAGAAAAACCTACATAGTGATTAAGGAGATAACTCCGGAATGGAGTTATAATAATAACAGAAAGGACCCATTTCAAATGAAGTCCAATCTATTCTTCACACACTGGACAAAATGACTCCTTTACATTATAATTGAAATCATACTGCTCCCTTTCAATGGTTTTAATTATGATTAGAATAAAATCTAAACTTTTAACCATAATTTGGACTGCCCTGGATGGTCTTTTTTAGTGTGATGACTTCACTAAGAGAGTCACAGCGGTTGGAATAGAGTGGTTCTCAAGCTAAGTGTGCGTCAGAATCATCTGGAGAGTTGGCTAAGACATAGACTGCCGACCCCCAAAGCAGTAGGTCCAACATGAGACCTGAGAATTTTGTATTTCTAACAAAATCACAGGCGATACTGATGTTGCTAGTCCAGGGCTAACCTTGAGAACCACTAGTTGAGCTTAACAGAATGGCATTTCAGCTTTTCTCTGCCTCAGTGTTTCTGTGGCCGGCTAATTCAGTGGCAGTAAAAACACGCCAGTAGTTTCCCTTTCGCTGCACTAACTCAACCAGCAAAACCAGTTAGGAAGCTCCTTAAGTGCGGTCTGATCTGATATTCTGGGTCTATCACAGAGCTTTGCCCATATCGGCTGCTGAAAATTGCTTGATGAATAACTAAAGACAGAAGAACAAATAAGCAATTTTGTGATAGTTGGGTTCTGATGAGCCCTTGCCATAGCAAACTCTAAGTTTCTGAAATACATGAACTATGTTTTGAATGATGAATACCTCAGCAGCTCTTATACTCTTACAGAGTCTAGACCCCAAGCTCTGAACAAGGTTAAGTTCTCAAAAGAATTTGTTGAATTGATCCTTCTAAGTAGCATTCCTTTTATCAAACTTCCTAAATGTCAAGGATGTTATAAAATGACCTCGATGCCATAGGACCATAATTCCTTTTCATATGGATTTAATTCTAATTAACTTGATAACAACCAAAAATACTTCAAGTTAATTTATGAAAGCAGTCTAGAATTTAAGTGGTGTTATTAAAAAAAACTAATAGTTTTGAACAATGGACACTGAAGAGAATCCTAATTTCCAAAGCAAATGTAAAATGCAGTGTTTTGAACCTAGGCATAAACCAAGAGAAAAATGAACTTGAAAGAAAATGAATTATTGAAAAGAGCTATATTTTAAAAGGCCTAGAATTTCTGGACTGTTACCTAATGAACGGTACCCTCAGGTCATTCATAGAGTGAAGAGGCGCATAAACTCCTTGCTCATCCCACCACCTGTGAGCCAGGGCCAGGAAGGTCTTCACCTCACTACTGTCTACAGTGGTCCTCGAAGTACTATATGGTCTTGTCCAAGGGAGCCTAAGAGGTCATTAACAAGAGCCAGGCAAAAATTACCATTTGAAAAAATGCAGCATGGGATATATTAAGTAGAAAGATACTCTAATTTACAACTTATTAGATTCTAAATACATATATATTGTTCATTTTCTGATATTTCAAAATAAGTTTTCTTATAATTACAGTACATATATATATATATATATAACAAATTTATTTTCTTTCAAAGTAAGTTACAACAAAAATGAAACTATAAAACTTGGACTTTTGGGTCACACAATAGTAGCAGCGGTAGCAGGGGAGTAGTAGTAGTAAGTATTTACTAATCACAGTTCCTGCAACATAGTGGGTGCTCAGGAAACATTTGTCAAATAAATAATCTGAAGGGGAAGGGCTAGAAGAGTATACGGTTCACCTAAATTTTTTTTTAATCAAATGGGATCAAATAGGGACTAAATAGGGATCACACAGACACTACAACAGGTCCCATGTCAAAGCACGTGATAGAAAAATCCCCCAGAGGTTCTTGGGTAACAAAATAGGTTGTTAGGTTAGCATAGGTAATGACATTTAAATTTGTGCTGCATTTTTCTTAGCTACACAGAGTACATTCTATACTGATTACTCACTATCCTTTTAAGAATTAAATGTCACTCTTCTTTAATATTATCTTATGAATATTACCCTCTTTTTCATGCTTTATGCAAAGCCTGGGTAATGAAGGACTAACTTACAATAGATAACAGCAGGTGGTTGCTCAGTTGACCAAGAATGATTTTACAGACATCCAATCTCAAAGGAACTCATTCATTTATGAGAAGTAGAAGCATGCATTTGGAAAACAGAGCTCATACCTTAACTCTAAGCAATATTTTTCAGAAGGTTAGAAATTGGTTTATAATATATGAATACATGAAGATATTACTTTGATTCAATCTTACTATATAGGATGTATACTTAACCACTATATATTTATGTTGCATCCAAAACATTTATGATTTAAGCACTGTGTTATTTGTGTCCTGTCATAAGGATATTACGAGGAAGTAAAAGTAGTTCTCCAAGGAATATAGTCTTACATTAAAAATGAAAGCTATCACTGAATATGGATGAAAAGTGAGCACTGGATTTATACTATATCCAAATTTTCTGTGGGTTTGAAATTTTTCAAATTTAAAAGTTGTTGGAAAAATAAGAATATTTAAATAAACAAAAGCTACCTTAAGGCCTTCCCTGGTGGCTCAGATGGTAAAGAATCCACCTGCAATGTGAAAGACCTGGGTTCGATCCCTGGGTTGTGAAGATCCCCTGGAGGAGGACATGACAACCCGCTCCAGTACTCTTGCCTGGAGAATCCCATGGACAGAGGAGCCTGGTGGGCTACAGTCCATAGCGTTGCAAAGGATCAGACACGACTAAGTGACTAAGCACCTTAATCAAACCACATGAGTTATACTGACAGCTGACAGCTTATTAAACACAATCAATACAAAACTGTTATTGTACATTATTGTGTAAATATTTGCCACAGTAATGAATAAACTTACCTATAATTTTTCATCCAATTCAGGCAGGCAAAAGTCATGCTATAGGATTTGAACCACATGATTCTGTTTTCATTGAAAACCCATGGTTTAACTTGTAGAATCCAACTGAGCTGATTCTTTGGATAAACTGAAAAAAGAAAACTAAACGTCTAAAGAAAGCATTGTACAGTGAGAATCCCTGATATGCATGTAACTGAAGAAACTATTTTATATGGCAGTCTTGTATTACAATTGACAAACAAAAGGGTCTTTTTCTTAATTTTGGATTTTATTCTAAATTATAAAAAAAAAAACTTGAAGTTTACTATCTAACTCTAATCAGACATTCCTGAAATTATAATTAGCAAAAATAAGCAATGCCTATGTTAAAGTTTTTCATGCATTTGTTTTTATATCCATATAATGCTGTATAAAATTATTAAAAATTACATTCAAATTAAAACTACATTACCTTTTAAGCTAGGGTAATATTAATTTTGAGATTATTTATCAAAACTATTTCAAATTATCTTACTTTCATGTTGGCTACATGAAATTGATTTATACATATGCTCAATACTCTTTACAGAGGAAAAAAATGTGCATATATATATAATGTATACATATGTATATATAATATATACATAATGTATAATGTATATATATATCCTAAAATAAATAGTCATCCAGTTTACAAGTTCCAATTTACACAAGAGCCTACTTCATGAATTACTCTGCAGCACAACATTCAGTTGTTCAATAAACATTTAAACAAAATAGACGTTAGAGCAAAGAAAACTACTAGGATATTACAAATTTAACAAACAAAAAAAGTCAGTGGTTTCTACACATTAACAATGAACAACTAAAAAGGAAAATTCAAAATGTTCTTTCATTTAAGATCAGTCCAAAAAAGAATACTTCCATTGCTGCATAAATCCAGCAAAACATGTTCAGAGGTCTGTAATCAAAGACAACCTAATAAATGATGAAACATACGATGTTCATGGAGTGGAAGATTCAACATAAATCCTCCCCAAATTCATCTATATGTTCAACACAATTTCTATCAAAATTCCAACAGTCTTTTTTTGGTAGTTAAAGACAAGCTGATTCTAAAATTTATATAAAAAGGCAAAAGAGGCAGAATAACTAAAACAATATTGGAAAAGGTGAATAAAATTGCAAGAATCAAATACCCAATTTTAGGACTTATTATAGAGCTACAGTAACCAAGGCAGTGAGGTACTGGAGGAGAGACAAACTCAAACATCAGTGCAAGAAAAAAATGTCCAAAGAGAGACCAAAAAAAAGAAAAAAAAAATTTACCCAACTGATTTTTTGACAACAGTGCAAAAGCAGTTCAAAGGAAGAATGGTCTTTTCAATAAATGGTGTTGAAACAATTAGATGTCCTCAACATAAAAGAGCATTTTGACCTAAGTCTCACATCTTACACAAACCTGAACTCAAAATGATATAAATGCAAAATTATAAAACTTTTAGAAGAAAATACAGCAGAGAATCTTCATGACTTAAGAGTTACACAGAGTTCTCATATCTCACACCAAAATCACAATCCATAAAAGAAAATATTGATTAAACTGGATTTAAACAAAATTCAAAACTTATGCTCTGCAAAACACCTTGTTAAGAAAAAGCAAAGTCGAGTCACAGAATGGGAGGAAATATCTGCATAACATATACCCCATAAAGAACTGGTATCTGGAATATACACTCTAAACTCCACAGTAAAATGAAGCAAAAACAACAAATAAAAATCTCGCACAGAGAAAACAAAACAAAATAAGCAATCCAGTTATAAAATGGGTGTGGGTATTATAAAATGGGTATAAAAAGACATTTCATTAAAGAGGATCAGTCAGTCAGTTCAGTAGCTCAGTCATGTCCGACTCTTTTCGACCCATGGACTGCAGCACACCAGGCCTCCCTGTCCGTCACCAACTCCTGGAGTTTACTCAAACTCATGTCCATCGAGTTGGTGATGCCATCCAACCACCTCATCCTCTGTTGTCCCCTTCTCCTCCTGCCCTCCATCTTTCCCAGCATCAGGGTCTTTTCAAATGAGTCAGCTCTTCGTATCAGGTGGACAAAGTACTGGAGTTTCAGCTTCAGCACCAGTCCTTCCAATGAATATTTAGGACTGATTTCCTTTAGGATGGACTGGTTGGATCTCTTTGCAGTCCAAGGGACTCTCAAGAGTCTTCGCCACAGTTCAAAAGCATCAATTCTTCTGTGCTTAGAAGAGGATATACAGATGCAAATAAGCACATAAAGAGATATTAAGTATCCATAGCCATTAGAAGAATGCAAATGAAAGCCACTACATACCTCTCAAATTGGCTAAAATTTAACCATCCTTGATATGACCAGGTGTAGACGAAGATATGAAAAAACTTGATCTCTTATATATTGCTAGTAGGAATGTAAAACGGTACAGACACCATGAAAAGGAGTTCAGCAGTTTCCAATAAAGTTACACGTATTTATCTTGCAGCTTAACAATTGCATTCCTGGGCATTTATCCCAGAGAAGTAAAAATTTAATCCACACAAAAACCTGTACATCAATTTTCATAGTAATTTAATTCATAACAGCCCCAAACTGGAAATAATCAAAATACCCTACAGTAGGTGAATGGTTAAACAAACTGTGGCATATTCATATCAAGAAATTCTACTAAGAAATCAAAAGGAGTTAACTATAGATACATGCAGAAAGTTGGATGGATTTCAAGGGTATTTATGCTGATTACAGGAAAATTTTTTCAAAAGGATATACCTTTTACATATTTATATAATTGTATGATTCCATTCATATAAAACTCTTGAAATGGCTAAATTATAATGGAAATAATAATATAATGTAACAGAAAACAGATCAAGGTTTAAGGTTGCTGGTAGGATTTAACTATAAAGGAGCAGTACCAGGACTTCTGTTGTGATTATGGGACAGTTCCATATCCTGATTGTGGTGATTATTACACAAATCTCTATGTGTAGTAACACAAACACACACAGACCAAAGGACCACATGTTAGGGTGGTGAAATCCAAATAAGGACTGTAGTTTAGTTAATAGTATCACACCATTGTCAATTCTGACAATGTATTGTATTAGCCAAAAAGTTCGTTTGGATTTTTCCATACAAAGTAGTGGAAGTCCCAATAAACTTTTTTTTGCCAGCCCAATAATATGGTTATGTAAGACGTTATCACTGAGGAAATGGGTGAAGGGTATATGGAAATTCTCTGTATTATTTTTGTAACTTCTTATGAGTCTAATTATTTCAAAATAAAATTTAATTAAAAAGCACAAGTGCACACTACAAAATGACTCTCCTACTCCTGACTATGTATCTATCCAATTTTCCTCTCCAGAGGCAACCAATGTTACTAGATTTGCTTGTAAGCATCCAGATATTCTATACATAGTTTATCTTCATATATCAACTTCTCTCCTTTTATACAAAATGTAGCACAGTATACTCATTCTTCTGTACCTTGCTCTTTTCAGGTACTGATGCATCTTTTTTTTTTCCATTTATTTTTATTAGTGGGACGCTGATGTATCTTGAAGATTTTTTATATAATAGAGCATAAGAACTTCCTTTTTTTAGAGTTACACAGTAACCTACTGTATGGTTATATTTCATCATTTATTTAAGCAGTGCTCTACTAATGGATGTTTATTTAGGCTATTTCTAATTCTGTGCTACTCCAAAAACATAAGATAAAATTACACAGGTAACTTCATACATTTTTGAGACTACCTGCATATAAAACCCCAAGAATTGTTGTGTCAACTGGCATGGGTATTTATAAGTCTGTAATTTCCTTCATAGATGTTGAACCAATGAAATTCCATGGGTAATATGAGATTCTAGGGATGGTTTTCCCACAGTGATTATATGTTGATAGCCACCTATGCAATGTATTATCAAACATTTTTATCTTTGCTAATCCAATAGGTGAAAATGGTATCTCAGTAGAGTTTCAATTTATCATGAGTGAAGTGTCTTTTTTTTAAGTTTAATGGTGCTATAAGCCAAGGGTTAGTCACTTAGTTGTGTCTGCCTCTTTGCGACCTCATGGACTGTAGCCTGCCATGTTCCTCTGTCCACAGCATTCTCCAGGTTAGAATACTGGTGTGGGTTGCCATTCCCTTCTCGAGGAGATCTTCCCGACGCAGGGATTGAACCTGGGTCTTCTGCATTGCAGGCAGATTCTTTACCATCTGAGCCACCAGGGAAGCCCCCAATAGTGCTATGGTCTGAATAATATCCCCTCCAAATACATATGTTGAAATCCTGACCCCCAAGGTGATGGTATTAGGTGGTGGTCTTTGGGCAGTATTAGGTCTTAAGGATGGAACTTTCATGACTAAATTTAGTGCCCTTATATAAAAAGACTGCAGAGAGTGAAAAGGATCTACCTATGAACCAGGGGAGTGAGCACTCACCAGATACCAAACTTTGGACTCTGTAGTCCCCAGGGCTGTGAAAAATAATATTGTTGTTTATAAGTCGCCTAGTCTGGTATTTTGTTGCAGTAGTGGAACTAAGACAAATGGTCATTTATATTCCTGTCTTGCCTTTTCACAGTCTCTGAACATTATTCTCCTGAGATTTTTGTTTTTAAAATTTTGTCTTATAGGACTTTACAGTATGGCCTAAATTAACTTCAATGTTCTCATAAAAAAAGTTTGTGTTTCTAGACTTCTGCTCATGTTATTCTCTCTTCCATCACTGCTAGCTGCATTACTTTTTAAGACCCAGGTCAACTATCACCTCCTTTATTTCTTTAGGTAGGTAAATGAGATATTAGAGAATTAAGTGGGACTTTCCCGATGGTCCAGAGGTTCAGACTTTGCCTTCCAATGTAGGGGGCGTGGGTTCAATCCCTGGTTGGGGAAGGAATGCCAAGAAACAAAATGTTAAAAAAAAAAAGCAGCAGCAGCAATATTGTAACAAATTCAATAAAGACTTTAAATGTGGTCCACATCACAAAAATCTTTCTAAAAAAGAAAAGAATTATGAAAACTGTGATACATAGATAAGAATTTACAGTTGACCCTTGAACAGCTTGGGGGTTATGGATGCCAAGGAATGCATGCAGTAAAAAACCCAGGTATAACTTTGTAGACAGCCTTCCGTATCAGCCATCCTACATTCTTGAATTTAACCAACCTCAGACAGTATGGTGTCTGGAGTACATATTTACTGAAAAAAAATCTGCATTTAAGAAAACTGGTGCAGTTCAAACTTGTATTGTTCAAGGGTCAACTATATGAGGTATTATCGTGAAATTGAGCCTCAAAGATTTTAACGTAGTCCTTGCTCTCTAGCCAGTGATGACCCCTATCTCCCTCTCACCCCATCTCATTTCTGGGTAATTAGGCCTTCAGTCATCAATATGGCCAGAATTCTTAACAGCCTTAAAAATTGCTTCGCCATAACTGAGAGAAACTAATCAAGTTTGTATTAATAGAATGCTAACAATTCCTTTTTTAAAAAAAGAAAAATTACTTGGCTGTGCTGAGTCTTAATCATGGCATGAGTAATCTTTGGTTGCAGCCTGCAAGATCTAGTTCCTTGACCAGGGATCAAACCCAGGCCCCCTGCATTGGGAGCTTGGAGTCTTAGCCATTGAATCACCAGGAAGTCCCATATCAATTCCTTCTTTACCTTGAAACTGTGACATGCTGGTATTTGAAATTTCAGAGGAATGGGGAAATTTTTCATTTTATTTATTCAAAAAGTCATTTATCAGCACCTCTTGGGTACTAAGCTAATAGCGCAGAAGGCCTCTACCCTGCCAATGCTGTAGTTCTGGCATTCGTCATTGTCTGGATTACTCTTAGGCCTCCCTGAGCCTCCACTACACTTTCTACACAGATGCCAAGTGTTATTTCTTAAAAACAAGTCTGATTATGTTATTCCTTTAGTAATTTCCCACTTCTTCAAGATAAAGTCAATCCCAGGAGGTGTGGGTGGTCTTTCATGTACTTGTCATGACCTACAATGTCTCCTGTCTTATCCCTGGCCATTCTTTGCCCTCACTTACAGCCCTTTATCCACACCATACTTCTCAAGCAACACCCTGCAGTTTCTGAGAAACCTCCTCACAGATACTAAAGGTGGTCCTCTGGCCACTCCAACTTCTAAAACTGGACAACTTTAAGACAGCTTCTTAAATACCTTAAGAAGTTTCCCTGACCCCAAATTTCTTTTGTCAACTCCCCAAAATTGGAAATGTTCACACTGTATGTTTTCTAAATTTCTGATTATAAAAGACATACTTACTGAAAAATTACAAAAAGTATATAAGGAATGATAAAATCATAGATCATCAACTCCACTTCACATTATCACTGCTAAAATTTTAATGTATCTCTATTCTTGCTATATATCTCCAAGTTCATAATACAAACTGCTTTGTAGCTGATTTTTTTTTTTACTGTTTTTAAAATTGACATGTAGTTAATTTACAATATTGTCTTCATTTCAGGTGTACAGAAAGTGACTCAGATGTATGTGTATATATACACACACACACATATGAATATATACATTCTTTTACAGATTCTTTTCCATTATAGGTTATTACAAGATACAGAATATAGTTCTCTGTGGTATACAGTAGGTTCCTATTGTTTATTTATTTTATATATATATATATATATATGAATGTGTATATGTTAATTCCAAACTCATAATTGATTCCCTCCTACCCCACTCCTGCTATCCCTTTTGGTAACTGTAAGTTTGTTTTCTATGTCTGTGAGTCTATTTCTGCATTGTAAACAAGTTTCATTTATGTCATTTTTTTCAGATTCCACATATAAACAGTACCATGTGATACTTGTCTTTCTCTGACTTACTTCAGTATATGACAATCTCTCGGTCCATCTATGTTTCTGCAAATGGCATGATTTCTTTAAAGGCGGAATAACATTCCATTGTGTATATATACCACATTTCTTTATCTGTTCATCTGTCATTGGACACTTAGTCTGTTTCCATGTCTGAGCTATTGAAACAGTGCTGTTATGAACAATGGGGTGCATGTTTCTTTTCAGATCAAGTTTTTCTCCATATAAATGCCCAGAAGTGGAACTGAAGGGTCCTTGCTGCGCTTCTTGAACACAACAGACATGCCTCCACCTCAGGGCCTCTGCAACTGCTGCTGTTGCTGCCTGGCATATCTTTTCCACATTATCAACACACCTCACTCCTTCATCTCGTCCACGTTCAAGTACATCGTTTCATCCCTGATCATCCTTCTGACACTGAAACCCCTCAACCCATATGCAAGATCATATGGTAACTCTATTTTTTGTTTTTTAAGGAAACTCTATACTGTTTTCCATAGTGGCTGCCCCAATATATATATACATTCCCACCTAGAGTACATGAGGCTTCCTTTTTTTTTTTTTTTAGGAGGCTTCCTTTTTCTCCACACCTCTCTAGCATTATTTGTAGATCTTTCTTTCAATCATGGCCATTCTGACTGGTGTGAGGTGATACCACATTGTAGATTTATATTTCTCTAATAATTATCAACAAATTTGGAAAACTCAGCAGTGGCCACAGGACTGGAAAAGGTCAGTTTTCATTCCAATCCCAAAGAAAGGCAATGCCAAAGAATGCTCAAACTACCGCACAAGTGCACTCACCTCACACACTAGTAAAGTAATGCTCAAAATTCTCCAAGCCAGGCTTCAGCAATACATGAACCGTGAACTTCCAGATGTTCAAGCTGGTTTTAGAAAAGGCAGAGGAACCAGAGATCAAATTGCCAACATCTCCTGGATCATTGAAAAAACAAGAGAGTTCCAGAAAAACATCTATTTCTGCTTTATTGACTATGCCAAAGCCTTTGACTGTGTGGATCACAATAAACTGGAAAATTCTTCAAGAGTTGGGACTACCAGACCACCTCACCTGCCTCCTGAGAAACCTGTATGCAGGTCAGGAAGCAACAGTTAAAACTAGACAAGGAACAACAAACTGGTTCCCAATAGGAAAAGGAGTACATCAAGGCTGTATATTGTCACCCTGCTTATTTAACTTATATGCAGAGTACATCATGAGAAATGCTGGGCTGGAGGAAGCACAAGCTGGAATCAAGATTGCCGGGAAAAATATCAATAACCTCAGATATGCAGACACCACCCTTATGGCAGAAAGTGAAGAAGAACTAAAGAGCCTCTTGATGAAAGTGAAAGAGGAGAGTGAAAAAGTTGGCTTAAGGCTCAACATTCAGAAAACTAAGATCATGGCATCTGGTCCCATCACTTCATGGCAAATAGATGGGGAAACAGTGGAAACAGTGGCTGACTTTATTTTTTAGGACTCCAAAATCACTGCAGATGGTGACTGCAGCCATGAAATTAAAAGACGCTTACTCCTTGGAAAGAAAGTTATGACCAACCTAGACAGCATATTAAAAAGTAGAGACATTACTTTACCAACAAAGGTCCATCTAGTTAAGGCTATGGTTTTTCCAGTAGTCATGTTTGGATGTGAGAGTTGGACTATAAAGAAAGCTGAGCGCTGAAGAACTGATGCTTTTGAACTGTGGTTGAAGACTTTTGAGAGTCCCTTGGACAGCAAGATCTAACCAGTCCATCCTAAAGGAGATCAGTCCTGAATACTGATTGGAAGGACTGATGTTGAAACTGAAACTCCAACACTTTGTCCACCTGATGTGAAGAGCTGACTCATTGGAAAAGACCCTGATGCTGGGAAAGATGGAGGGCAGGAGGAGAAGGGGACAACAGAGGATGAGATGGTTGGATGGCATCACTGACTCAACGGACATGAGTTTGGGTGAACTCCAGGAGTTGGCGATGGACAGAGAGGAGTGGTGTGCTGTGGTTCATGGGGTCGCAAAAAGTAGGACACGACTGAGCGACTGAACTGAATAATTAGCAATATTGAGCTTTTCATATGGTGGATCACCCAAATGTCTTCCTCAGAGAAACGTCTATTTAGGTCTTCTATAACTTACCTTCTTAACACTACATTTAGTCATTTACCACATGGCTTCACTTTGATTTAAACTATGGTATTTATTGAGGCAGCATTATTTTTCACTGTATTGACAGTAACACCTTTTTTTTTTTTAACTGGCTGGGTCACAGCTTGTGGGATTTCTGTCCTCTACCAGGGATTGAACCCTGTCCACGGCAGTGAAGTACTGATATCCTAACCACTAGGCCACCTGAGAACTCCCACAACTTATCAATCTACTGGAGGCCTTTAAGTTTCCCAGTTTTTGTTCTTTATAACCTGATCTTAGCTCCAACTAACATTTTATTTAAAGTGACTTTTAGATACCACTTCTTTAAAATTCCCAGTGCCTCGCATAGGGTATTTGTTAAATGAGTTTCATGCAAAGGATGAACTTAACGTTCTGGTTAATACTGGGAGTTAAATAATCAAACTGTCTTCTACAAGCATCAGGTTCAGTGAGTTTTTAAAAATGTTATTTTCGCAGCTTGTTGAGTTAACCTATTCATCAAAAAACAGTATAGCTGCCTTATACTCTGGGGAAAAGGGGAGGAGGGGCAAGATATGTGCAAATAAAACACAAACACAAGACGATAAATAAGTATAAGACAGTTGGTGTCCTTTCTCGCTGAGGCAAAAGAAAAAAGGCTGAAGACCTTGCGACTCCAGCAGGCACAGTTTGTCGCCGGCTCCTAGGGAAGGAGCTCAACGAGAGTAAGACAAAGGTCACTGAATATATGGCGGCGGGCCGCGCGGCCTTCGCTCTCCTCCGCCAGGACCACTAGGCCTCAGCTACTTTCCCCAGCCTCTGGGAAACGGAGGGTAACAGCCTAGGCCGGGTGTTCAACACACCGGAAGGACCAGCGCAGAAGACACAGATTTTTGGCCCAGCCCGCGGGGACCGAGACAGCGGGACGCCCTCTACCGCGCCTGCGCAGGTCAGTCCGCTCCAAGGGCTTCGCGAGCGCAACACATACAAACACACACACACACTCACACTCACCCGCCGACGTAGTTAGGCGAGAAGAGTCCGCCCGTGTGCTCCGGAATCCCGCTCGAAGTCCTCCTAAAAATCGCCTCCCGGAGGAGCTTAGCTTGCTTCCTCCCCACATCACGACAGAACGGATACGCCTCTCTTCCGGTCCCTCCCGCAAAAGATCCCCATCAGAAAGGTTCCGAGAGCCATCTTAATCATGGTCACTGTGATGGATATTATAGATGTGTGGCTGTAATTACTGTTCACGTTCAATGTCAAACTAGACTACAGAATGCTTGCATTATCATGTTTCACTATGCCTATTCTGTATGACCTCTCAAAGCAGCCATCAGACCACCTCCAAGTAGCCACTTAGAGCTGTGTTAGCTAGCTTTTATTCCTATATAGCTCTAATTATTTCATACTTGAGATGTCCCCCAAGGACATTTATACTATCTATAAGACACTGACCCTAAGAGAATCACAAAAGATCTGAAGCCTTTCTTTCTTAAGGGGAATACTGTCCCCCCTTTCAAGGCACTCAAATGTCAGAGGGCCCAAAATTTAAGTTGAAAATTTTATTTTCCTTGAGTGACCTGATAATATTCCAGACAAAGCACACAGTATGTAGCAGAGAACTGTTAAGTCACTCAGGCTAGGCAACTTCACTTAATTAGAACAGGCAATCATTTACATTTCACTTCTGTGTAACAGCCTTTCCTTGGGTAAGAACAATGATAAATTTCCAACATTAAAGGCAAAAACATCATTGTACATTTTTTACCGGCAGGGTCAGATTGGTAAAGGCTTCTGTGAATTAGTGAAGACTACTGCTCAGTAATGGTCTTTCCCTTAGTAAAATATTGACTACTTCCTAAGTGGTTGCAAATTTATCAGTTGTCTTCAGAGCTCCCCTCTCAATATATTAATACATGATCATCTCTCCCAACTGAAGGTAGAAAGCTCTGCACAGAACATTTATGAGCACATGTTCTATTTGCTGGAGTGAGATCCGAGGAAAAAGCAAAGTGAAAGTTTGCTTTCACACCAGTTCGAAAACAAAGGCAGTGATTTGCCTTAATACCAAGAGAAAACAAAGTCTCTTGAATACCCACTGGTTTGGTTCAGTTAAGCAAAACTAGCTTACAGAATTTTTCTCTACAAGTAGCAATAAAAGGCTTTTCCAATGATGCTTAAACACAAGTTGTGCTGGAAGGACTAGCAGCTATGCGATGTTACGTTTGTCCTTGGGATTATTTCCCAGATCATCTCCATGGTCTTACCCATATTGTAAACTGGAATCCACAGTTAATTTTGCTATTAAACTAAAAATCTACTTAATATTTTGAAACTCAATTTTATAGCTTTATATAAACTTTTAAAATTCAAGTTAAGGGTAAAGTTCTCCCTTACAGGGAACAGCTTTATCTGTTTGAAATAACTCTACTACATCCACTCAGGTTTAACTGGTAAATTTTTGTATTTATAAAATTCCATACAAGTTGGTAACTTAGGGTAATTTTATCTTAACATTACCAAAATCAAAATAGGAGACAGGAAAACCCTGTGGGTGACACCTAGTAAACCTTTAGGGTATAAATGTAACTCATCACACATGAGTTATTTTAAGGGCTATTAAGTTATTTTAAACCCATCTTCTCCTTTAGGTTTAGACATTACAAATTCTACTTATAACTGAAGAATTTAAGGACTACCCCTGTTTAAGACCTTACATAGTTTAAGAAAATTAGTTCCACAGTGATTAAGTGATTTGCCGAAAACCATCAAGAAGCAGAGCCAGGACAATCCGAATGAATTTAAGACTATTTCCACTACACCATGCTTTGTACAGGTTAGAAACTTTAATAATTTATAACTACTATTTATACTTCATGTGTTTTTTCAAAGAAAAAGAGTAACTCAGACATTAAAAAATAGATGATTTTTGGAAAGTTTAACTATTATGTATCATGCCATTAGAAATAGATGCTTTTTAAAAAAGACATTTTACAAGGGTAGGAAACATGTACACTGAAATTCCACACCAATCTTTATTTATACTTAGGGGCCTCAAACAAATCTTATAATTACCTCTTCCAAATTACATTTTGTTCTCTTAATGGTGTGGTTTACCCCCATTACACAAAAACAAGTATAATTATTAATACACTAGAAATATTTTAAAAGAAAACCTCTTAAGACAGATTTTTATTAACCAATCCAGACAAATAATTATCTCAAAAAATTAATCTATTAATTTTCTGGTGGTGTCATTTTAGAAAAGATTTCATAACCAAATTACACATCTAATTAATTTACGTATAAATTTTAGCATTCACATCCCAAATCATGGAAGCCCTATTTTTTATAAAATCTTACCATTCAAGGTAAACATACTTCATTACATGTCAATGAAATGATGAATTTTCTAAACTGAAAACCCAAATATCTAACACTGATATATTTACTAATAATCATATACCATCATGACTAAGGTTTTAAAACTATCTACAGATTTAAATGATAAGCTGGTATATTATGGCAGAGTAAATCAAACTGTCAAATACTACTTTTGGCTCTAGTTCATATCTTGCCCAAAAATGTGCATATCATAGCCAGAATTTTTCTGTAGAATTTTATTTTGAAAATATTATTTCACTTGAAGATTGTTCTAAAAAACATTTTAAGATATGAAAATGTTATACAACTTATTACAAATTAATCAGATAATTAGTTCTGTAATTAGGTACATGGTGTTAGCTCATCTACATAAAAAATATTGCACATTTTCCTTTATTTTGTCTCCAGATGTGACTGATGTCTACACTATATAGAATTCCAAACTATTTAAAAGTTACTGTGTGAAATGTCAACTTTATAAATATCAGAACTAACTGCACTGTAAAACAATCATTTTGGTAAACATGCATTTATTCACAGTTGATTTGTTTCCAAGATAAATGCATAACTGCTCAGAACCTGTGTAGAGGTACAAAGAGCACGCTATTGCAAGTCTATGTCTACCTTCATTTTGAGGAAACACTGATCTTGGCAAAAGCCTGGCTTGCTTTCAAATGAACTATTGCTGGTAAGAAGGCATACTTTAAAACTTTTCTGTGATCTGCACCTGCTCTCTCCTTTTTAAATTAAAATTTAAAAGCACTGGTTTACAGAGGTTTATCTATTGTGGCACAAGTGAGTAATCCTAGAAAATGGACCCTAGAAGGAGTTCAGCACTTCAGTGCCTGCAGAGCCTCATTTCATTTGTAAGTTATGACTGCCTTAAATTGCTAGACCACTCACTGATCATAATTTTAAGAAAGTGACAAAATCAAATCATTTTATAATGTTATGAAATTGACACAAACCTGCATAACACAGTATTCCTCCACTGTGCTGAGGTCATATTATACTTTAAAAATATAAATAAACATATTCAATTGTGAGTTTTAAATTCTATAGTAATCCCAAAGTGTTTAAAACACACTTTAAAACAGAAGTGGTCACTGCAGAATATAGTTCCAGACTTGAATTGCTATTAGTGTCAAACACAATCATTCCTTATAAATAATTCCAGTGGTGCACTGGTCTGATTGATTCCAGCAATTTCATTAACAGGAGTGAACCATACTTTATACACAGAGAATATATTACTTGAAAATCCCCCAAACAGGAAAAATTTAGAAAGCTGTCAAATGCTTCCAAATGAAAAGTAAAGATCTGTTTCTGGCCCTCTTCTACACCCTTATAGTTGGAATCTGACAAAAATCCATGGGTACAATTTACAAACTTTGACAAACTATTAAGTTAAAACCATTTTCTTTGGGGGAGATGAGAGAAAGTACCTTTAAAACCTGTTATACAAAATTCCAGCTGCCTTTTTATAAAAGTACGTTCCTTAGACTAAAGTCATAAAATTAAGGTGCAAGAGTTTAACAAAAATGAACTAAAGAGCTTTATTGACATCACAGTACATTCAAGAATAATTTTAAGAACATTACAGCTGAAAGAGAATGGCATGTTTATAGTCTTATTATGCACTATTTTTTGAAAAAAAATTTAATAGAAAGAAATCCTATTAAGTAACTTGGAGCAGCATTTGAAAAAAGTACACCTATTTACAGATTAAAAAAAAAAAAATTCTGGTTTCACCTACACAGCCACAAATATGCCTCTATAATGAGACAAGCCCTTAAACTCATGGAATTTTTTAAACATCATGGCATTCTTGCCACACCATTCCTCAGCGTTTACGACGGGGAGGGGTCGTTGATCTGAAAAAAAGAAAGGGAAAAGATAAAATTTAAAAATAAAAATGTATTTTATACTAAAGAATCTGCAATTTTCAAATAAATATTATTATATAGGATTTTTAAAATTACTTATGATTATGATCATTTATCAAGTACCAAACTGAGTTTATTAAAGAGAGAGAGAGAAAGGACACTTTCAACTTTGAATAAATTCAGTCAAATATTTTTTTAAAAAATCAGACAAAATACTTTAAAAAGTATACTACCTTGATCGGGACTTAGACTTGTGTTTGCGGCTTGCCTTCTTACCAGACCTTTGAGATTTCTCCATGGATCGCGATCGACTATGTTTAGGCTTCTTAACCTTCTTTTCTTTGCTACTTCCTGGAGATTCAGAACTGCTCCTTCCACTAGAATCAGAGCCTGAATGTTTTTTACTATCTTTGGTAGTGCTTTTCTTACTATCCTGTCTAGAATCATGTCTTATGATTTTAACAGATATAGAACCACTCCTAGAGAACGTTCTTTCACTTTCTCGTTTCCTTTTTAACCTATCGTCCTGACTACTGAACTTAAAGTCCTTTTCTTCCCTTTTTTGTTTCTCTTTTCTTTTATCCTGTTCACGTTCCCTTTCTTTGTCTTTCTTTCTCCTATCTTTGTCTACACTTCCACTCCTCTCCTTTCTCCTCTCTTGTTCTTTAACCTCACCCTTATGCTTATGACTGCCTCCACCAAGACTTCCACGTTGATCATCAACTTTACGTCTATCTCGACTCCTACTACGACTGGACCGATTGGTTCGCCTATCCCTTGAGCGACTTCTACTTCTACGTCTCTCTCGGGAAGGACTTCGATTTCTTCGTCTTTCTCTTTCAATGCTATTTCTATTAGATCTCCTCCTATCTCTAATCTTTACTCTAGCCCTATTGCTCTCTATTTTAATTCTGCGAGAGTAACTTCTACTCCTACTACGCCTAGCTTTAATTGTTGGAGATCTACTCCTACTGTGTCTCTTTTTTCTTTTAGGAGAAGACGACCGGGAAGAAGTGCGACTGCTACCTGAGCTAGAACTGTATGAAGAGCTAGAGACAGAACTGCTAGTACTGCTGCTTCGGCTATTGCTACTGGAACTACCACTACTAGAACTTCCTGATCTACTCCTTCCTTGCTTCTCTTTTTCTTTATGCTCTCTTTTTGGTTCTAAAACTGACGTCGTTTCACTTGGAGTTCTTTTCTTTTCATTAACCACATCACCATCTGCTTCTCTTGCTTCTAGTAGTGATAAACTATTTTGCTCTTTATGGATAAATTCATTCATCTCTTTTGTAACCCTTTCTGATTGCTGCTTTTCTTCTGAAACAGAAAAAGACAAAAACAGTCTAAGAAAGGCAAACATACAGTGAAAAACTTCCATACTAGCAAATTTCAAGCTATAAGACTATAAAAATAAAGCAGCACCGTTCAACAGAAATAAAAGGCAATGAGCAATTCAGGGTTTTTTAACAGCTACTTTCAACAGCTACTGAACAGTTTTTTAACTGCTACTAAAAAGAAACAGGTTTGAAATTAATTTTCATATTTTATTAACCCAACATATAAAAAATATAATTTCAACATGCAATGAGTTAAAAAGAAAATAAAAATATTCTGCTCTTTTTGTATTGTAAAGTCTTTGAAGTCCAGTGTGTATTTTATACCTACAGCACATTTCAATTTAAGCTGGCCCCAGCTGAAATGCTCAGCAGCTACATGCACTTGGCTACCTGTCTGGACGGTACAACAGCGGTGTACCAAGCACAGAGGCACAGGAAAGCAAGTAAGGAAACATCTCCCTCTTACACAGTAAAGCAACCTAAAGGTGAATTAGTGATTTATAGTGAATTTTTGGCTGTTAGCTCAATAATTACTTCTGAAATTGTCCAGTAAGATTTTTCAAACAATAAAGTCTAAGTAAATATTCTTTCACTATTCCCAGTATCATTATATAAACTAAGAGCTGTACACACGTATAGCATTTTACATAATTAAATTCTACAGTGAAGTTGCTCAGTTGTGTGTGACTCTTTGTGATTCCATGGACTGTAGCTTACCAGGCTCCTCCGTCCATAAAATCTTCCAGACAAGAATACTGGAGTGGGTAGCCATTTCCTTCTCCAGGGGATCATCCTGACTTGGGGATTGAACCCGGGTCTCCCACATTGCAGGCAGACCCTTTACCCTCTGAGCCACCAGGGAAGCCCAACTAAATTCTAAAAAGTCCTCTACTGTCCTTAAATATGGGAGCTATAAATTACTCTTCAACAGCTTACAATGTATTCCTTTCAAAAGTCTTTTCATTTTAGGAACTTCAATGAGAAATAAAAAGACACCAAACAGCTTAACTTACAGTCAGTAGAATTAATGTCTCCCAAAACAAAAAAATAGTTTAACTTTTATAAACTACATACTTTGAATAATTAATTTCGACTTTTAAGTTTGATAAAAACTGCAAATGAATCAAAAACCTTAGTTTCAATTACATCACGTAGCATTTATAATCTAGCTTTGAGTCTATCGTGTTATTTTTAGGTTGGTTAAAAAATAATAAAAAGAAATACAAACTGAACTGTACAAACACTAAGTGAGTCTAAAAGATATACCTTCCATCTGTTTATCATGTAACAGCTGTTGTTCTTTTTCTTTTCTCCAAAAAGCTTCCTGTTTTTGCCGGATTCGATGCCGTAATTCCTCATCATCAGTGTCAGATGACTCAGAACCTCGGTTGCTCCTCTCATCTTCACTGTCTCCTGATCCATAACCACCCAGTCCACCTGTGTGCATAAAGCCCAGTCTATCACATGTAAAGATTATTCTACTCACTAAAAACTTTTTAAGGTCCGAGAAGAAAGCTCATTTCTTTTTTCATTGCCTTTTCTTGGAAGAATATGCTTATTCGGGGTGGGGAGGAGCATAAATTACAATGCTTAAGGAGTACACAGAATCCTCAAGAAAACTGATACTTAGCATCTTATTCTTTCGAGAATATTTCATATATTGCTCACCATAGGGAATCTTGAAAATGACTATCTTATTGTCCCTGCTAACCAACAAAGCTATTTAATAGGGCAGTAACAAAGCCTTACCAAAGCATAATCAATTCAAACTACCTTACACAAGTTTATGATGATCCTGAAAATATTTCTAAAATTAACTCTTTCATTGTTCAAAGTTCAAAAATCCAAGGGATGCTAAATATTTTTTTCCTAAAAAAATTAGAATACTGTAATTCTCAATGGTAGAGAAATGGCAAGGTGCTATATAACTGCTCCCCACCCTGAAGTGATCTAGATAGTAGTCATAACAAAATCACATGGGCATTTGGTTTTACCCATTTCTGCTGATCCTCACAAATATTAATTTGAAATGCAGATGTGGAAAAGGCAAGTTCAAGCTTTTATACACTTGATACTGTATCATGCAAATGGCAAATTATGAACATCACTACTATCACGATCTAAGAAAAACCCTTTCCTCTATGGTAAAACTTGACTTGCTGCAATACAATCTAAATTAAGGTCCTTAAAGGCATTTATGGATAGGTTCTTCCCTAAGGCATGTATGCAATAATTATGAAAGTGAGCTCAAATGCTATCATGGCTAAATTATGAACTATTACAACTTGTACTAATAAACTATGAATTAGTCACCACATTTATAATAATCTCACTGTGAATACTTTAGTTTAAAAAAAAAGCAAACCTTTTAGAGACTGATATAACCCTAAGACCTAAATTTTATACACTGTGTAGGCCCAGTACAGTTTCTAAGCAGAACATGTAGAGAGACAAGGTAAGCGTGACTTTCCCTTTAAGGCCCTCTCGCAAATAAGGAGAACACTTACCGAGTCCAGTGAGGGAGGCCAGTGCACTGGACTGTGCCAGCTGTTTTGCAGGAGCTTTGTATCACATCAACAACAGGAACAACATGTTAACACAAATAGCCACGATTTCATAGTCATGAGAGTCTACGGTATTGTTAAATCTACTACTATTGCTGCTTTGTGGGGAGAGAAGAAACATTAAAAACATGACATTCATTTTAAACCAGTAGTATGTCTGGCCTTGAAATTATAATTCTGATGTGAGCTGAAACTGGTTGATAATGAGGGAAAATGTTGACCAATACACTGGTATTTTTGTTTTTGAGGTATGGACCATAACTAAAATTTTCTTTCAATATACTTTTTAAGTGTTACTAAAAATATGCAGGGGTGGGACATATTACTTGCTTCTGTAAGAATTACAAGTGGTAACTGTGAAAATTCTGAAGGTTCATAATTCAATAGTCAAACTAAATGCATTAGAAATCATATACCTAATACCATGGTATCTATATATTAAAAAAAAAAAATCAGGTGAAATTGAACATCAAGAATTTTCCACAGTACATGTTATAGAACAATAGCAAAATTGCTAATTTGTGCTTAGGTAGGTTGGATAAAACAAAAATAAATGTATAGTTTTAATATGCTGTCTACAAATCTAATATTTCCCAAAGAGTTAGAACATGCAAGAAAATCCATAATCTGCTAGTAATTCAACATGGACAACAAAAAAGTCCAAAGTAGCCACCAAAACCAAAGAGCCCCAGCAAAAGAAAACCGAGAACACCCACAATATACCTTTCGTCGCCTTCCGGTGTGCGTCTTTGGCTATGTAATAAATTTCTTCATCTGTGACATCCAGGAGAATTTCAGTCAGAAGCATTTTTGTCAGCAACATCTAAGGAAGGATATTTTATATACTTGTTTTTGATTCCTAATTTAATTAGTACAGTTGCTAACACAGTTTGACATTTTCAAAAAAATTAAAAGGCAAAGGCATTTTATAAAACATGTAAAGATCAGATTAGCTATTCTAAGGAACAGAGTATGAAAATTATTGTAAATGATCAGAACTTTAAAAACATTTTAAATCATATGGATTAAAATATATATAAGAATTTATCTGTAAAGCAGAAACACTGAATTCTAATTCTGGAGACAAAACACTTTTTTTTTAAGTCCCTGTTAGTAAAAGTTTCCAGAAGTGTTTTAAGTTGAGAGGAATATCTTTTCACTTAATAATATTATTAGTAAGCACCACAATACTAGTTTCTTATGTCACTTAGGAATTTACATTAACTCTCAGCTCAAAGTAAAATCTAAGGGGAAAAAACAAGGAAAATAAGGCAACGGCAATAACTGCATTTCATGAAATGAAATCCTTTTTTTCTTTATTACTATAGTATAGCATACAATAGACTTGAAATAAGAGCTGCATTCTAGCACTCGTTTGGCTACCAACAGCTGTTTCCAATGTGGACCTCTCTGGGATCCAGATTACTCATCTACTAAAATAAGAGTACACCGCATCAGCATCATCTAAGGACATTCCAAAGATCACTGACCAACCAACATGAGAAACGCAGCATATTATATACCCAATCTCATAAATCTACAGTACACATATAGACATTGAAGGCTGTGAAGTCTTTCAGTAAAATATCTTTAACTGTGTTAAACCTAGAGCTTCCTAAATTTATTTTTGTATACATTCTTTTAATCTTCTACAGTATACAAAAAACACACTTTTGACTCTCTGTGACCCCATTCATGGACTGTAGCCCACCAGGTTCCTCTGTCCATGGGGATTTTCCAGGCAAGAATACTGGAGTAGGTTGCCATGCCTCCCCTCCAGGTGATCTCAACTCACGGATGGAACCTAGGTCTCCTGCATTGTAGGCAGATTCGTTACCATCTGAGCCACCAGGGAAATGTTCTCTTGGGTCCCATGTAGTATTAATAAAACATTATTTAATCATGCTGTCGATATCAGAAAATGTGCTTAATAACTGCTTTATAAGCTATGATTTCATATATTATGAGTTACTTGGGTTTTGCAGACACTAGTGCCCAGCAAATGTATATCTTATAACTGTTTTACAACTTCTCAAGTTTAAGATAGCCAACCAAAAATTTTTTTTTAAATTATTAACAAGATAAATCCTGTAATATAATGCTGAATGTCATTACATCTCAAAAAAAAAATTTTTTTTAAGCCTGTACATGGTAAAGGTAAGAAATTTAACACTCTTACCATTTGATACTCTTTCTCTTCTTCAGTCATCTCTGGTTCACTTTGCTCTTCTTGAGGAACTGGAGATGGACTTCTGGTGACTTTTCCACTGCTTGCAGCCTCAACGTTTTCAGTGTCTTCATCTTCCTCATCACTATCCTAAAAAAAAGTAACAGCACTTTTTGGGCCACCAAAATTCATGCTGATGTGATAAAATAATTATCTTAAATATTCTATTTTAAAACCCCAAATTAAAGTCTATGAAACAGATACAGAAAAATGAAATTTCGTTCTAAATAACACTTTTGTGCTACAGATTCATTTGGTAATTTAAAGAGAGGAAATACAAGATTAAAAGATGGCTTGTGAGAATCAATTTCAATTTTTTCCCTTAGTTAAGTTTTCCTAAGATAAATAACTAGAAGCACATCATGCCCAGAGATTGATTTAATATACATTATACATTATACATAATACATAATAATATACATTATATATGATGGTCCTGAGATGAGTGGTATGTAGAATTTTGGATAAATGAGCCACAGTCATATATTCAGTATAACTTTTATAGCTGTAAATTTAAGGTTTTACCTAAAATCATGTGACTTAAAAAAAAAAAATCTAAAGTCAGTTTCCAGATCTAAACTGCTTATTGAAATTTGTTTTTTTTTTTTAAGCTACATAATGGACAGATAAGCAAGAAATGAGGTTTCCTTCAGATAGAGGAAATACCAGTCATTTGTCTCTGTATAGTGTTAGGTTTTCAGTATCCAGCTGGCACAACTTAAAAGGTAGATTCTTCTTTAGGCAAAGAAATATCCCACAGTCACTCTTAACAATCGTACTAAGTAACAGCCAAGGTGGTCACCTAAAAAATTCTATGCAAAGACTATTCGAACCAGAGGAAGACTACATGTAAAAACAACTCCAAAGGCATCTGGGAGAAAAGGGAAGACAATCTGCAGTTTTGAGAATTTTTTTTTTTTGACACTTAAAAAAACATATCAAACCAGGAACTCTACTATTTCACGTAGAGATTTAAAAATCTTTTTTTTCTTTTTAAAGATAAATTTTAATAGTGGCAGCCTGTGGTTTCTTATCTACAAAACACCCAGAACAAAATCACATCTTTGGTATCGCTGTTTTGCTAAAAAAAAAAAAAAAAAAAAGTAGCTTATGGCATTCATGGAATTGAAGCAGAGCCAGTACCTGCTTGAAGTGAAGTGAAAGTCGCTCAGTCGTGTCCGACTCTTTGCGACCCCAAGGACTGTAACAGTCCATGGAATTTTCCAGGCCAGAACACTGGAGTGGGTAATCTTTCCTTTCTCTAGGGGATCTTCCCAACCCAGGGATCGAACCCAGGTCCCCCGCATTGCAGGTGGATTCTTTACCAGCTGAGCCAACAGTTAATTTGCTGTCCTTGAAACTTATTTCTGAAGGAAAAAAATGGTCTTGGGAGGAAGAAGAATTTCCTGAATTGCACACTGGCCAGTGCTGTGGCTGTCATACCAGCTAGAGGCATATTGCTGCTAAAAACAAAAAAATTCTCAAGCCATCCATGCCATCTAACTGATAAGAGATTTAAAGAGTTAAAACCTTATGGTACTTTCAGTACCTGTCAAAAAGTAAGTTATTATATCCTCGAGTTTAAGTATAGCTGTTTTATAGGCCATCATTAGGGAGTTCACTGTACTACAATAAAGGAACAGAGATTTGTGTGTCAAGGTAAAGCCCATTATCTAGCATCTCACTGAGTAATTTCTCTCTGAAATGAAACAGTTTATACATTTGCTGCCCTTTTCTCCTTACTACCCTCAGTAACACATATATAAAAATAAACTCCAATATACTTAACTGAGAGTTAATCTCAAGGATACTACTCTAGTACTTTTTCAAAGACTAAATTAATACCTATTGATTTTTATAAACTTTAAAAAACTGAAATATATCTGATTTACAATGTTTCAGGCATACAGCACGTGCTTTAGTAGACTCTTTTTTTCAGATTCTCTTCCATTATAGGTTATTACAAGATACTGAACACAGTTTCTGTGCTATACAATAGGTCTTTTTTATTTTATATATAGTAGTGTATATCTGTTAATCTCAAATTCCCCATTTATCCCTCCATCTTTTCCCTTTGGTAAATTTAAGTCTGTTATCTATGTCTGTGAGTCTATTCTGTTTTATAAGTAAGTTCATTTGTATCTTTTTAGATTCCACATATGTACTCTTTTAGATTCCACATACAAATGATATACGGTATCTGTAAATGGTAAACTGGTGCGTCCACTGTGGAAACCATCTACAATAGCCAAGACTTGGAAGCAACCTAAAGGTCCGTTGACAGACGAATGGATAAAGATAATACCACTCAGCTATAAAAAGGAATGAAATAATGCCATTTACAGTAACATGAATGGACCTAGAGATTATCATACCAAATGAATTAAGTCAGAAAGTCAGTTAACTTTTTCACATAGATGTCACAAGGAGTTTCAGATCAAGAAAGTCTACTCACAAATTTACTTCTCTGAGGTAAACGAGGGCCGTCTCCTCCTTCAGCATCATCTGTGGCCTTCTTTTCTTTTTTGGACAATTGTGAACGTTGTTGCTCCATTCTTTCTTTCTCCAACTTCTTCTGCTTTTCACGTTCCATTTTTTCAAGACCTTCTCGAATCCAAGCTGGAAGAGTCCTGCGTTTCACTGCATCTGTTTCACATGGAACAAAATATTCCTAAGTCAGTTAAGTAAAAATCATAAATGCATGAGTTCTTTATTCTTAAATTTCTATAATCCTTGTAGGTTAAAAAAAAAATTTTGGTGCCCTTTAAGTGCTTTTGAAAAATACTATCATTCTCTAGCAAGGCAGTGGTAATAAAAACAATTCACTAAACATTATGCTTTTCTTTAAAATCATCACTTTTAATAGCAAAGGAAATATGGCTTTAACGCTTATAAGGTGCCAGGGCACTGGGAGAGCCCATCATCTCACTCAATCCTACAAAAGCCCTGGAAGACCACCTCATCTTTTCTAAGTGACGAAACTGATGCTCAGAGATTAAGCATCGTGTTCCAGCTTATAAGGACAGTAGTGATGTGGGCTAATTCAGAGCCAACTGTTACACTATGTTGTTTCCTAAAATATTGAAAGAATTACAAAACCATGAGCCTTCACATTAAGAATTCATTTGAGTATTATTCATTAAGTTAAAAAAGTTAGAATCTATTAATAAAATGTCTACTTTGTGATTAAAAAAAGAAAGACTTAAATGCCCTTAAATTAAGTGCTGGATTTGGGCTTCCAGATAAAAAGGAACATATATATGTAACTTACTGATGGCAATAAAATAGTTCTATTATGTTATTTAAAAATTAATTTTTTTTGCCAAAATACTATGGAAAGTGAATGAAATAAATCACAGAAATCAATCTGACAGCAGTACATCCAATGAACTGAGAGTGGAGAGTCCATAGAGAATGAATAGGTTTCAGAAGGGGGAACTGATCATATACTCGCAAAATGTATCTAACTATCAACATCAAAGAAATATCAACATGTTATGGTTATGATAAATTTAAATTTTACAACAAAAGGTTGAAGTTTAAGGTAAAGATTTTAAAGAAAATTACTCAAAACTAAATATTTTAGATAGTATCTTTTTTATAATTTTAAGATTTATGACTATAAAATGACAGGACTTTAAAGTATTAATTCCTAACATATGAGAGTATTAGAACAGTTTAAGAAAACAAAGCATCCTTTTTATATCATCAAGAAGTCATGCCAACTGTGGATCACTAAACTTAAATAGCTACCAATTTGTGGCGGCTCCTGCTTCACAGGAAGTGCAATAGGTGAGCGCTGCCGATCCCTGAATGATGACGGTCTTTCTCTTCGATTCTGGGGAGGTGCCGGAGGTCCTGGAGGTCCTGGTTGCCAATAAGGAGGATGAAATCCACCTTGCGGTGGACCAAAAGCAGCCCCATGCTGAAAGAGTATTGCAGTTTATTTTTCTTCACATTAATACAACATACTCTCTGGGACACACGTGTGTTATGAACTGGGACAGTAGAAATCCATGTGTGCAGCAAATCCAAGATTTCCATGGTTCTAATAGCCACCGATATTTCTGTAGCCCTAGGCTTACTTTTCTTAAGAAAGATAAAGATTTTCTGCCTATGTAAATCAAAGAGCCATATAAAATCCAGCTTTTAATATAATACATTCAAGAAGTATAGAAAAAGATATATATTATGTTTTTTCATTCTGAATCCATTTGTCAACTACTCCTTCCACTACCAAGAAATCAAATAAATGTTAATTTTTCTGTAACTAGAAAATTATAGGAAAAAAATTTTAATCAATTTCAACTTCCTACTTATAAACTTGTTATTTCTATAATCTTGCAAGAAATAACTATTTTAATCAAAGATAAAAGCTACTGAATCATTCTATTAATTTTTTTGTTGTTGCAATTTTGCCATTTTCTGAGGCTTTTCTAAACCAGATGCCAACAGAGTTTTTTATCTTGTTAGAATGGGGATCTATGAGCAAATGCTGTGTGAGGAGAAGCTCCCCATGACTAAATTTTTTCAAACAAACAAAAGTTGTCATATCTATATGTCAAATATTCTTACAAAAAAAGGTATCTGAGTATGCATGAATAAGGGGATTACTGTCTCAAGGTTAATATTGTTCACGTTTATGCCCATTATCCGTATAATTAGTGAAACAACATATGGGTTTTTTTCCAAAATTTTTAATTATAGCTTAGTTTAAAGATAACAAATGGCAATCAATTATTTCAAAATAACACCTAGCACTGTAATTTAGGGTAGACTCTGGCAAAGTGATTAGAGAAAATAAAGCCCCACATGACACTATTCCCCATAGAGTTCTATGTCCCTAGGAATGAATCAGATGCTACAAGGAAGTATGTACAATTCCATTAACATGTCATGTTAGAATAGGAAAAAAAAAATGACAACACTAGAAAAAGTCTTACTCTACACAGCAGAAGGAACTGCATTTAGGAAGATGATCTATGTTCTTCATGTATTTTACTCATGTCTTAACCATAATCTATTTTTGATAAATAATGTATTCAACTACTGTGCATTTTCTAAACTTTATTTAATATTTAAAGGTACCATCTTGAAATTATAAATTAGAAAACAAAACATCATATAGCTATTGTACTTACACATTTTTCATTTTATCCAAATTTTTCCCTAACAGTCCTTTATACCATTTTCCTAAGCAAATCAAAAACCAGAAAATAAAAACCTAATGATTTTAATACTCAAAAACTAGTAACTTCTTTGACACATACATGCTTATCTGTACAAGACTGAAAAGTGAAACATATATCTTAGATACTCTTGATGAGACACTTCCAAAGAATGGGTTACGTGCACATCTACAATATTAAAGCAACAAAATATCTTTCACCTGATAGTCAAACTGGTTCACTGGCCCCACTGCAAAATTATCGGGTGGTCCACCAAAGTTGTGATTGTTCTGGTTAAATATATGCCTGTTGTCAGGGGCAAATTCCCCACTGTCCTGACTGTTGCTGTCTTCAGAAGGAGGAACAATGTCCATTGGGCCTGGTGTTGGTGGCATCCATGGCTGATCTGGAGGGGGGTGTGGGGGCTGCTGATGCATTCCCCATTCTATTTAGGATTCAGGCATAAAAACATTCAACAGGGGGTTATAACAAAAGCAACACAAATTTTTAAGATCTCAAGAAAGCTAGATTTTTCAGTAAAGAAACGGATTAAAAAACTCTATGACTTCTTGGTCAAATTCCTTTCGTATATCTTAAAAATAAGCAATGAATCTAATAAATAATTCAAATGCGCTAACTACTACTCTAATTTATATCCTAAACAAATGGAAACCAAATGCCCAAAATTACTTTTAATGAACATAACAAAATCCAAAGCAAATTTCTGTTCAATTTTTCTATTTGTGTTCAGTAACAATACCATAAAAATAATACCTTCAGATTTTTATATAATTTCTTTCTTCCATGAACACATTTATCCTCACAACATCCCTGTGAGGTAGGGAGAAATCAGGTACTATTTTCGCCAATTTCAGGAGGGGAAACTGAGGCACACAGAGGTTTAAATCACTTGCCTGGGACACAAAGCCAGCACAGTAAAGTTGGGTAGTGAGAATGCCAAGATGAATCACCGATGAACTTAGGAACCAAAACATTTTCAAATGTGGGAAAATTTGGCATAGACAAGAAAACTAGAAATGAACTCTCTCTTAATATTAAAGATTAGAATATTCATTATTATTTTAAAAGTGATATCAGAGTTAAAAGTGATATCAGAGGATTACTTCTTGAGTTTTCCATTCTCACACTGAGGAACAATAAGTACTAATAAGAAAACGGAGCTATGACTTCACTGTTAGCATGCTCAAATGTAAGATTCATCTATAAATAATTTGAAGTGACTGTTAAAAATAACACAAGTCATAGAAAACTGAACTAGCATCAAGGAACCTAAATCACACTACAAAGTATAAAAAGCAAGCAAACAAAAAAAATATACAGATAAAAACTTATGGAAGATCTTTACTATCTGAAAAAAAGGGAGGAGAAAAATGAGTGGATGGTAGGGGCAGAGTATATCTGACAGACTAATCTGTCACAAAATGACACAATTTTTCTTTAATTAGAGACTAGACATGTTTTGCTCTGCCAGTGCTGCTGCTGAAAGGCCAGAGGTTGCAACAGAGAGACATAGAATGCTCTCTTCCCTAGATGCCAAGTGAGGTTTCCAGTGTTCCCAGCCCCTGTCAGCCTAGGAATGAAGAACCAAGAAAAGAATCAAACCGAGTGCCACAATGCTAGGAGAATGAGTATAGAATAATTTAGCCATAAAATTTCAAGGTCAAATCTAACTGAAACTGCCTAGTCTTCAAGAAGTATTTATTTCAAGAAGTCATAAAACTAAGCAAATTAAACAATTTAATTTTAATGCTCATTTTATTTTAAAATTGACTCCTAAAATCTGGAAAACATAAACAACAAACCTGGTTGCCACATTCTGTTAAAGTTTGAATCCCCTTGGAAATTCCCATGATTATTTGGACCAGACTCCATTGTAGACATATCCTGTCCATTTGGCATCATTCCTGGTGGTTGTTCTACTATGCTTTGCTGTCCTGAAGCTTCTCTTTGGGCAATCCAAGCTTGAGCCAATGCAGCCCAGTCAATCTGGCCTAACAAAATTTAACATAGCGGAATTTGACATTCAGAATGTAGGAGCTAAAAGAACATGACTCTATGTAAAACAAGCATTTCAGTTAATCCTTACTAGAGATTTTAAATATTACAGAATGTTATAGTGGAAAAAATGCTTAAAAATAATGCATATGCAGGTTACAAAATAAATAACCTAAGACATTCAGAAAAGGACTTTACAAAATAACCAATTTCTGCTGCTACTGCTGCTGCTAAGTGACTTCAGTCGTGTCCTACTCTGAGCAACCCCATAGATGGCAGCCCACCAGGCTCCCCTGACCCTGGGATTTTCCAGGCAAGAATATTGGAGTGGGTTGACATTTCCTTCTCCAATGCATAGAAGTGAAAAGTGAAAGTGAAGTTGCTCAGTTGTGTCCGACTTGTAGAGAACCCATGGACTGCTGCCCACCAGGCTCCTCTGTCCATGGGATTCTCCAGGCAAGAGTACTGGAGTGGGGTCCATTGCCTTCTCCACACCAATTTCTAGTATTATTCATAAGAAAACTTATTCCCTGTAGCTTAGTTTATTGAATTTTTAAAAACTCTTACTCTTTTTTTAAAATCACTATAAGAACAAATGATTAAACTCATTCTTTCTCAGACAGGTCCCATTCAGGTCTACAGTGGATCCTACACATCTCAGGTGAGTATAGCTAGCTATTTCTGTTCCTTTTCAGTCACCTTTGTTTAGCATCTTTAACTCCTTTCTCTAGTCAAAATATATCTCAACAACTTTAGTCATTTTTATTCAAAATTCATTGTTTCCTCTATCTTCATCAAAAATCTATAGCTTCTACTCATGTGATTAAAGTGACTAGAACTGTACATACATGTGGTACTACCCATGTCCATTTCCTGGTTTTCATGTTATAACATAAACATGTAAAATGTAACCATTCAAGGAAACATAAACATTACATGAGATTCCCTGTAATCCCTTTTGTAACTTCCTATAAATTTATAATTATTTCATAATAAAAGGTTTAAAAATCATAAAAAAAACTATAGCTAACATTTTAAGATCTAACAGTATTAATAAAGTAAACAATGTAGACTGACACAGGTTTTTACATCTCAATTTAGCTAAGATCAAATAAATATATTCTCATACATTTTGACAAAGGTGAAGTTAAACTTGGTAATGTATATCTAAAACTTTAAGTGTACAACTGTGATCTACCAAACCTATTTCTTAGCTTTTTTTCCTATGAAAATAATTGGACAAGTAATAATGGTATGTATACAAAATTAGGGAAATGTCTTCAAAAAGTCAAGTCACAGACAATCAATCATAAAAGTGGATTTATTACAGTACACTCCTATAACAGAGTGGTATGAAGCTATTAAAAGGAAAAGAAATAGGAAAGCCTTAACTCAGTAAACACAGGGCAGTAGAAGGGGTCATACCAATTAAGCAAAATTGCCTATGAATTAACCACTGTTAGAACTCAGTAATAAATGGGGGATCCCTATGCCCTTTTCTGCATCTATATAAGCTTGAGATAATCCATATTAAAGGGAGATTTTAAAATTATATAGTATACCATCAGTTGCTTATGATCTACATAGAATCTTAAGACTCAGAATTAACAGCAGAAATATGATTAACCTAAGCAACACATTTAAGAAAAACTTTCTTCAGAAAACAAGAACTAAATCAGTTTTAGAAATATAAAATCTATACAAAGCTTTCTACCCTTTGAGGAAATATTCCAAAGGGAAATCCATTCCTTTATATGTATGCTAGGTAAGATGACTGAAGAGAAAAAATTAAAATCCAACCATAAAATGATCCAATAAACCAATCTCAATTCTACCTCCCTTAATCCTTGTGACTATCTTCCACCCATTTCTATATACCTCCCTACTCCACTCCCCAAAATTCAATTTGTTTCCTTACTTGGATCCTGCTGGTGCTGGAATGACTGCATCCATTGTTGTTGGTTCAAAGGCCACTGCTGCCAAGGTTGTCCTCCTTGATCCCACATCCTGACTTTTAAAATATATGTTTTTCTGTCTTCAACAAAATAGTTTAAAAAAGAGAGAATGAGTGTTATTTAATGTTAAAAAAGCTCACACATCAGAAATTATTATATGATTTTACATTTATGTCATCAGAGCTCTAAAATTCTGCTCAAAAGGTTGCCAGAAGCAACTGGAATTTTTTGGTTGGCAAGCAAGAGTAGAAAATTTCATGTTAACGCTGGTGTCAAGAGTTTGGAGGAAAGCATAGCTCTAATCAATTTAGCTCAAAGGGGGAAAAAAACCTAGTTTTTCTAATTTTTTCTAATCCTAATTTAAAATCTCATATAAACCTGTGGAATGTAATTATTTTGAAGATTATAATAAAAAAGGTTTATCTATTTAGCCTCCCATAATCCAAGACTTTACTGAAGAGGGTAATCAAATAGCTCTAGTTAAAGAAAACTTTTCCTAATAAATTTCAGTTAATGAGAGCAGAAGGTAGAATAGATTTAGAAAACTGTCATATTGTCAAACCTAATAAAAACAGCTGATTCACACAGTCTTAGAAGAAAGGTTGATGGGAAATCAAAAATTCAAAGGTTACCAAAATATCACCCCTACAGATTATTAAATGTCTCATGAGACACAATATTATGTCCCCAGAATTACTATTTTCACCAAAAATGTTTACCTGAATCCAACTGAGCTTTTGGCTCTCACTTGCAGTGCGAAAGGGAAAGTCACTCAGTCATGTCCAACTCTTTGTGACCCCATGGCCTATGCAGTCCATAGAATTCTCCAGGCCAGAACACTGAAGGCGGATTCTTTACCAGATGAGCCACAAGGGAAGCCCAAAATATGGGAGTGGGTAGCCTTTCCCTCCTCCAGGGGATCTTCCCAACCCTGGAATGTGGAAGACCTGGGCTCGATTCCTGGGTTGGGAAGATCCCCTGAGGAAGGGAAAGGCTACCCACTCAAGGATTCTGGCCTAGAGATTCCACGGACTGTATAGTCCATGGGGTTGCCAAGAGTTGGACACGGCTGAGTGACTTTCAACTTTCATTTTCCAGTGTGAAGGAATTACAAGGGGACAAAGGCACTGGCCAAACAAACAGTATCAAAAGAAACAATCAGACAAATCTACAAGGTGAGATAGCCCACAAGACAAGGTTTCCTTTTTTTTTTTTTTTTGGCCACATCACGCAGCTTGCGGGATCTCAGTTCCCTGACCAGGGACTGAACCAATGAAGCCTAGAATCCTAACCACTAGGTGACCTGGAACTCCCCAAGACCAGGTTTCTTAATATATAATTAAGATGGAAAAGTAGGGGTAAAAGACATATGTTAGTAACTATTAAATCTAGCTGATGGGTATGGAGACAGTTTAGTCAACTATAAACTAGCTTGAAAACTTTCACAGTAAAAAGTTTTAAATGCCTACAAGTCATTTTTATACTTGGATCTCCAACTCAGATATACAACCCTGTTCAAGAATCTATGACACACATAGTAGGCAGAGTATGTTTCTTTATTTTTTGTACCCCAGGGCTTTAGCATATAGCAGGCATTAAATAAATGTTTACTAAATGTGTCCTTTCAAACTGACCCTTTCCTCTATTCTAAGAACAAAACTATTTCTTAGTATTGCAGGATCACAGAGTATGAAAGCCAGATATTATGGAAGTAATAGACACCAACTTAAATACAACAATGGGCTATTACAATCCAGGCTTTTAAACTTGCAACTAGTCTTTGCTGCATTCTCAGTGGCAGATCCTGACCTCTCAGTTGAACACTGTGCATTAGGGAAGATGCATTCCTGTTATACCTTATTTATTTATGAGTCAAGTGTACTTACTTGTCTTCTAATTGTATTATATGCTCTATTATAATGTATTATTAGAATAAGACAAAACAGGCACTAATTTAGTAGTGCACTTGAGGTCAATAACTGGACTGGGTATCAATTCCAAGCTGCTTTTTCTGATCTTTCTTCCAATTTCCTCTTTTCCAACTATACCTTTAAAGTTCTTTAGAAGCTAATGACTCATTAGCACTCCTGAAAACTTTAAATAACTTTAGCTAAAAGGAAACAAATAAATAGAGGAACAGCCAGAAGAAACACCAACTGCTATTTTGACTAACCTCAGAGGTTCACCTTCTGTTTAAAATTTAGGATGATTCAGAACTACAGCTTGGGAGCATAGCAGCAAGATTACTTATGTCCTGGAAAAAAAAAAAGTGAATGTTTGCACTTAAATAATAAACAGCTATTAGAATTAACAAAAATAAATTCTAGAGATGCAACACAAAAGTGTGATCATCTCCAAATTAATCTGAAACTTTTTCTTACATTAATTTTATGAGAAAAGATTTACCATTGTAAATTTAAAGGAAACCAGTACGTGAGAAATGAGAAAGCAAAACTTTTAAAACATTTTTCTTTCAAAAATTTCTTTTTTATTTACTTGAACAACTCACTAACAATATAAAACATGTCAAGCAATTTAGGAACTGTCATTCGTTGTTGTTTAGTCACTAAGTCATATCTGACTCTTTTCCACCCCATGGGCTGCAGCAGGCCAGGCTTCCCTGACTTCCACTATTTTCTGCAGTTTGCTCAAACTCACATTCATTGAGTCAGTGATGCCATCCAATTATCTCATTCTCTGTTGCCCCCTTCTCCTCCTGCCCTCAATCTTTCCCAGCATCAGAGTCTTTTCCAAATGAGTTGGCTCTTTCCATCAGATGGCCAAAGGATTGAAGCTTCAGCCTCAGCATTAGTCCTTCCAATGACTATTCAGGGTTGGTTTCCTTTAGGATTGACTGGGTTGATCTCCTTGCTGTCCAAGGGACTCTTAAGAGCAAGCGTCTTTCAATTGCTTGGCTACAGTCACTGTCTGCAGTGATTCTGGAGCCCAGGAAAACAAAATTTGCCACCGTTTCCACTTTTTTCCCATGTATTTTCCATGAAGTGATGGGGCCGGAGGCCATGATCTTTGTTTTTTGAATGTTGAGTTTTAAGCCAGCTTTTTCACTCTACTATTTCACTTTCATCAAGAAGCTCTTTAGTTCCTCTTCACTTTCTGCCATAAGGGTGGTTTCATCTGCATATCTGAGGTTGTTGATATTCCTCCTGGCAATCTTGATTCCAGTGTGTGCTTCACCCAGCCCAGCATTTCGCATGATGTATTTTCTATACAAGTTAAATAAGCAGAATGACAAGATACAGCCTTGACATACTCCTTTCCCAATTTGGAATGAGTCTGTTGTTCCTTGTCCGGTTCTAACTGTTGCTTCTTAATCTGCATCCAGGTTTCTCAGGAGACAGGTCAGGTGGTCTGGTATTCCTATCTCTTGAAGAATTTTCCAGTTTGTTGTGATCCACACAGTCGAAGGCTTTAGCGTAGTCAATGAAGCAGAAGTAGATATTTTTCTGCAATTCTCTTGCTTTTTCTACAACCCAATGGATGTTGGCAATTTGATCTCTGTTTCCTCTGCCTTTTCTAAATCCAGCTTGTACATCTGGAAGTTCTGTTCACATATTGCTGAAGCCTAGCTTGAAGGATTATAAGCAGTGCCTTGCTAGCATGTGAAATGAGTCCAACTGTATGGCACTTTGAACATTTTGGGACTGCCATTCTTTGGGATTAGAATGAAAGCCGGAATTGTCATACATGCCAAGAAAAAAAAGGAACATTTTAAAAGATCTCATCTATCTGATATGAACTTAATGATACAAATAAGGTAATAAATTCAGATTCTTCCATGGAATTCTAAGTTTAAAAATTACATCAGCAAGGTGAGAACAATTTGTCCTTCAAATAGTTTCATCTCCTTCCCATTATATTAATACCTTTCTAAAGCTGATAGACCTTCCAAAGGTACCGGACAGCTTCTTGCTGTCCTAAAGTCTATGACCCTGCAGTCACTAAACAACAAAGGAATAAATAAGTCTATAGGTTCTTCTTTCCCTCTGTTTACTTTTATTGTTAATCCTGTTAATGATAAGAAAATTGTTGACTTACATACATGAGAAGCAAAAGGCTGGTGTTTAAGCACAGCTTACTATGTTTTACAAAGCTCTAACAGCACATCAGAGTTAATGCATAGATTGTTCTGTGGTAGGTTGTAAACTCACACAATGCAGGGACTATAATAAGCTCTATATAGTGTCTGCTGGGGTTGCAAATAGATGTGCACATAATAAAATCACTTTAACATATCAATGATGTATGTTGACTATCATCATTGCCAATACGCAGATTTACTTTTCTGGAAACCACTCTAAAAAGTTTCTTTTACTTACTCATGTTTAATGGTTGTCACAGCCAATTTTTTCAATTTCGCTTTTTAGTTTTCTGATTATCACTTGTCACCTAGACTTCAGAACACAAGCTGATGATGCCCATCTATACCACTCACTAGCTATGTGAATATGGGGAAATTAACTATTCTCTAATCCTTGGTTTTCTCAACTCTTAAATGGTAGACATAATAAATGTCTACCTCATAGGGTTATTGTGAAGATTAAGTGGGAAACATACAAAAACTGGGCACAAAAAGCTTCAATAAGTAGTAGTTAATATCCCACCAAGACTTTCTCACGATATTTTTGACAGCACTCAAGTTTACAACTGGGGACAGGCAGGGGTGATCAAGTCAATCCATTTCTACTCAAATTCCATTTTCTTACCTTAAAGCAATCTAAGAGTTATCCAGATTTCATTTTATCTTAGGGGGAAAAAAACTTTTAGCTCCCATTTCTCACAATATCATAAGCTGAAGCTTTTATTAAACAAAACAAAGCAAAATTTTTCAAGTTTTCCTACAGATTTTATGTGCATATTTTCAAAAGTGATTTGTATTACTTGTACCATTTCTCTGTTTGCTAAAACCAACCATTCTATTTTTACTTTACTTTCCAAAGCTTTGTTCCCTCCAAAGTTTTTATAAAAGCTATTATTCAAATACAGTGTTTGATACACTTAGGCTGAGAAAAATATGGAAACAATGTGAAATT